ACTCCACATCTTGAGCCTCCCTTGGTTTTTGAGCCGTCTGTATAAATGCGTATCTGACTCAGTGTTCTGTTTCATCTGTACTTGTAGGGTTTATTGAACACACACCGGGGTTCAAATTGCATCACTGGTTGCGCAGTAAGCGCTTCTCACCATAAGCTCAGCGTCAATTGACCCATTTCTACTTCGAGGTTTACACCAGCCGTGCGCAACCGTAACATGGCCATTAACGCAACCTCCTTAACGTACAGGCCCAGAGGGGTCACACCGGTAATTAATTCCATTGCAGCAGTTGGTGTTGTCCTCGTGGCTCCTGTGATGTTTAAACAAGCCAGTCGCTGTATTTGATATAGTTTTTTGATGGCCGTTGCTTGTAGAACTTTCGGTCCCCATGCAATGGCTCCGTACGTTAACATATGTCTTATTATTGTAGTATAGATCCAGGTGACCACACGGGGTGAAAGACCTCATACGCGGTTTTCCAACATTGCTCAGAAGCCACATAGGCTATCTTTGCGCTACTCTGTAGGTGAGAGTTCCATGGTAGCTTCCTGTCGAGATAGATAAAAAAAGTACTGCAGTACTTATATATTATATATATATCTCTTAGGAATGACCCACAATAACCATTTTTCATCCTTTACTTTTTTATGAAGCGATTTTAAGCACTACAGCAATAATCCTTATCCAATCATTATAGATCAATATGGCCCTTCACAACATGTAATTTAAATGAATATCTTCAAAGATATTACAGATTTAAAATGCAGGGACATAGCGGTTTCGGCGGTACCGGCCGGAGGTGGGGAGGGCGGCGACGCGTGCCTATAAATGGCGCGTCGAACGCCGCGCTTCGCCCTGGATGAATAACTTTTTCATCCATCCCACCCCAGCCAGGTAGGGGTATCCCATGAAGGGCGGCACTGATGTCTAAGGACTTCATGCCGTCATCTATCAGTTGTGTACCCATTGGTCCCTCTCAAGGCCAATAATCAGCCAAAAGGGTAGGGGAGCTGGTCTCCAAACCTGGTTAATATCAGGATGACTCGTCAGCTTCGCCCTATAGTATTTTGTGATTAGCAGCGATCGCACGCGTGTATATGTATATTTGATATCAGCATTGCACCCGTGCGTAGCCGGGACGGTTCGCTAATATATAAGTTTTTAAGGACAACAATCATTTCGAGACAAAACAAGTACTGCTCTAAAAAACCAGAAGTGCAACACTCTCCACTATCATTATTTGCCACAGATTACAATTCTATATTTCATAGGGCCTTTGGCATGAGGGATTGTTGACCAAACTTCGATGCTATGGCTTGTCGGATCATTTTTTGTGTATGGTTCTCCAGCTTCCTGAAAGAGCGTTCCCTGCAAGTGGCCGTCGATGGATATATCGCGAATACTTTCACCATCAACGCTGGTGTTCCCCAGGGATCCATATTATCTCCAACCCTCTTTTCATTGTATATCAACGACTTATTGGAAAAAACAAGAATCCAATATATTGCTTTGTTGCCAACAAGCACACTTGTCTTGTCATTTCATTTGGATTCCAGGACATCGGCTACGGAGGCTCATCTTCACCTGAAGCAGAAGGTTGCATACCTTTTTGAGGATCTGGAAGTGATTTCGCATTGGGGTGAAAGTAACCTAGTTCAATTCAATGCCACAAAAACCCAAGCACCGGTTTTTTCCAAGAAGATAAATATCTCCGAACCGGATATAATAATGTCGGGTCAGACAGTTCCGCTTTCTGCTTCTATAAGTTTGTTGGAGGTTAAAATGGATACCAATATGTCTTGGCACAATCATGTCGCTGGAATTGCAAAGGCTGCTTCTCAAAAGCTTGGAACACTGTTCCCAACCAGAAAATTGTACATACCTCGGCAACTTTTGATGCTTCATAAAGCTCAGATTAGACCTTCTTTGGAGTATTGTTCTCATGTATGGAGCTCTGCCCCTAAACATACCATGAAGTTGCTGGATTCCATCCAGAAAAGAGCCATCCGCCTGATTGGAGACGCGAACATCACGTGCAACCTTGATAGTCTGGAACATCGAAGAAAGGTTAGAGATTTGTCTCTCTTTTATAGATACTTTCACGGGAATTATTCAAGTGACTTAGCACATTTGATTCCACCAAGAGCGGTACATATCAGAAATACACGACGAAATGTGGCTGCTCATCGTTTTGAGGTCCAACTCAGTACACCTCGAACTTCACTGTTTAAGAACTCTTTCATCTGGAGAACTGCGTTATTGTGGAATAAACTTCCTGAGAACGTTTTTCCAAACGGATTCAATCTCTAGCAATTCAAATCCAATGTGAATCACTACTTTCGCCCAGCCACCGCTCTGAGAGCGCCTTTTTCTGGCGTGCTTGTGTTTTGTCCTTAAAAAAAATAATCATTTTGAGAGTGAATTGGGTGTTCTTCTAAAGTTCCATACTTTGTGTATTAGGAAATATCATTCTGGAGTGTTTCATCTTTGCCTTTCCTCTCAAACTAATTTTTCTTACCGTTTACGTGTTCATTCCTCACGCATAGACTCAAATTTGCCCCAAAGGAAAAAAATACCTCCACTGAAAAATTATGTAAGCAGACCATCCCACATGATATTTGTTCGGTTCAATTACAGAGTTAATTGATAAGGGTCATCAAGCAGTCCGGCAGGAATTGATGAAGACTCTGCAGGCTAATACTATGTGAAAAATAACAAAGGAATTTCCCCAAGGATTTCCACCTGTGTAGGGTAATACAGAGTTGAATTGTTTGTTTGTGTTTCATTAAAATGTCACCGTTTGGGTTGGGTTGCAACAATTTTTTTATGTAAAACTGACACGATTACTTTGTTTACTAATTTTTTCAGTCGCAACTTAGTTGGTTGAACAATTATAAATTATGTGAAAATAGAAAGAACGCAAAATAAGTGCCTATTATCGAATAACGACGAGATTATACCGGGAGATTCAGTTGTTATCTGGATCATTTGACACGAATCGTTTTTTATACCTCCATTATCATTGATAATTATTAATGATTATCATTAATAACTGGCCATTTTCATCGATTTTTAAAAGAATTTACTCAGTTCAATACTCCGCAACAACTGGTGTACTTCAAGGATCTGTAATTGGCCCTTTGTTGGTCAATATATTCAGTAGTGGCGCATGACCTATATTTATTGTGGGCTAGGTGCATTTCGCGAGGCCCAATGATGGTGCAAGAAGAGGGGTTTATAAAAAAAACACCTGAAATTGAACAGTTTTGTATTCTTTAAGAAACACCAACTCATGTACTTTTTTGGAACATTAAACAACGAAAAATGACAAAAAGTATTGATAAATCATCATGTCTAAGTCGCCATATTAAAACTCCAGTCAAAATCACTGACACTGCGGTTATTTAGGCACTTTACTTCAATTGAAGAAACAAACATTTTCTATTCTTTTTGCTGAACCAGATTGCCATTTTCCCCCTTTATCTCTTTCAATGCCTAAGACTGACATGATTGATAGATACATTATGAAGAATGCACCAATATTGTATCCGTAACCTGTAAAAAAAATAATAATAACATTGGTAGGTACCCGTTTCTTTTCTAAAGTAAGTATGTTTAGTTTGATCTTCCTCATGAAGATGATCACTTGGTGATCGAAACACGTGTCGGTTTGGTGTTTGAAAAAACTCCAATAATATTCAATACTATCATTGCCGAATGCCTGGTTAATTTTTCGGGCAGCGGCAGCGCTTTGGTTCAATTTGAATTCATAAAGAAAAATTGTCCGAAAATTGCTTAAAGACATCATATTAATAGGCTGAAAAGTGTCAAAAAATAAAATTTGGAAAAAATAAACAGCATCAATGAATCTGTATCTGTAGAGTAGGTTGGATGAGTGTAGACCCACAGCACTTAGGCCACATGTGACCCATTGTACATGCTCCCGAGGAGTTGTCCTCCTAGGCCATCTTCCATCCTGTACTTTTCAGGAAGGTGGACAGGTCACTAGGAGACATCTCCTTTATATTGGCAGGTGTAGGCCAAGACTCGCCGAACACACACTCTCTTTGGCAACCTTGAGGTGTCCTACGGTGGCATCCGCGAAGGTTTTGGAAGGTGCGGAGACATTACTGTCATTGCGCGGCTTCTTCAACCTTCTTGGTGTTCCCTCCGTTTAGGTGCACAAGTGAGGGAGCTTTCCTGCAGGGGCAGCCGATTCCTTGCCTTTATTCAAAGCGGAGCTCTTGGCGCCGCCGCAGGAAGTGCCCTTGCTATTGGAGGTGGAGTGGGGAAGGAGGAGGAGGGTGCACTTATAGTTGTTGCTACTCCTGTCTCTTTCGCTCTCTTTCTCCTTTTGGCCTCGGCGCCGCAAATGCGCTTACGCCTCGGCTGGACATAGCCACCATCACGAGGTGATCTGCTATGTCCAGCCTCATTCCAAGCGGTAGATTGAGGTAAGCACTTCTGTCCAGCCTCGGGATTGGTTTTTTTACTGTTTCTGTTTTCGTGTGTTTCATTCATGTGTGTTCCCACGAGTAGCAAGGGAAGAGTTGGTCACTTCTGGCAGAGCCTCGCATTACCAGAGGTAATGCGTTCGTAACCGCATATCACCCTGCGGCCGTTCAGCTATTGGCACGATTCCTTACACCTTAGCTTGGGCATCTTTTGCAAAGGCTTTCGGGGAGTTTTAGTTCCCCTCACCCTACTTAATTCTGCCACTGACCAGGAGTCCGGCGACCCCGTCCGTAAGACCACATTGGCTTCCCGGACAGGATCTCCAGTCCCCTGGCCGTTCCCCTATCCGTCACCTGGGGACGCGCCTGATAGGTAGCCCAAACCACGGGCAGCATCAATGTATAGAATACAACCTTATACAACTTAAACAATCAGTATAGTTAGTAACTAAGCAATACATTACAATAATGAATTAGTATGACATAAAATGTATGTTGTCTGCTCACATTTGTTTAACGTGCTTATTATACTATTTTTCATTTCAGGAAAAAGAACCCAAGAATGCATATGCGTCGGAATATGTATGACTCTGATGGGAGTCGATTTCATGTTCCTTTTGGTTCACTTCCGTTTGGAAAAGCTTAGCGAAGTCGTGGTGGCAGCCTTCTGCGGAATATTGTCAGCAGATTTTGGGTCAGGTCTAGTGCACTGGGGAGCTGATACCTGGGGATCCGTAGATTTACCTCTTATAGGAAAGGTAAGCCTTCGGTCTTACTATTAATTGAGTATATTTGGATTGCGTACTGAGGTAAAAAGAGTATATTGTTGTTTTCCCGTCCCGTTACGTTTGACCACTCTACAGTATGTCACTAATACGTTGACAGTACAGTATAAAAACTCTAATTGAACTTCAGACTAATGCTCAAGGGTCTATCGCCTTAAAAGCTCAATTCGCAACTGCGTTTTCCGAACTAGGTACGTGACGGTATTGCTCAAATAACCCAATGGAACTGGAAATTGGTGGAACAGACATCGCATCGGCCAGTGTTATTTTTTAGGAATCATTCACAACAATATCTACTTAGATTCAAAGATTCTCGATTGTGTAAACTTCTAATGGAGTCCTGCCAAAATTTTATTTATTTATGTGTACGGATTATCCCCATGGCTTCTTCGAACATGTATTTGTGTCAGTAAAGATACGCCCGAAGAAGCCACTGTATGGCGAAACACGTGTTGCATTGCTTCTATATTATTTATATGTACTTTATAATGAGAAGACCGGACTGGTGACACATACTCCAAAACAGATCTTATATAGACTAGGTGAACAATTCTGGTGGCATCCACTGTTAGAATTTTACAATTTCTGAAAACAACAAGAAGTTTGAGAGCTTTATTGAAGGTGGTTTTGATGTGGGTGGTGAATGAAAGGTTCACATCAAAGATTATACCCAAATCTCTTGTTTCATTGAGCCGATTTAGATTAACATCGTCAAAAACATAATTGAAGAGGATTTTGTTATTTATTCTAGCAAACGTTATACACAAGCATTTTCCTTGAATTAACGACATCCCATTGTTTTCAGACCCAAAATATAGAGAATTAATATCATCCTGTATCTTATGACAATATTCAGTACTTTCGATATGCAAATATACCTTCACGTATATTTGCATATCGAAGTAAGAATTTACAGTAATGAATTGAATTGCCAACGTCGTTTATCAATAGGGTGAACAGCAAGGGTCCAAAATGAGAGCCCTGACGCATTCCAGAAGGTACCATGATTCGTTCTGAAAGTTCTCAATTCTGATTACCTGTGACCTGTCCTTGAGAAAATCGTTTATCCAGTTAGTAATAAAACTGGGAAAACCTTACAAGACAAACTTCTGTACCAATAGATTATGGTGGACACCAAATGTTCCTATGAAAAACTAACCTTACCTATAACCTACGAAGTTGAAGAGGATATCAGTGACAAAATTTACATAAGTGTATGCAATCAAACACAGTCAGGTACAGAGATTCTATTTTGGAATAGTTACAGTGTATACAGGGTGGGCCATCGAAAACTTGACATGGAGGTTTTGGGTACTAATCTTGAAAATCTCCCAATCCAGTGATCTGGAAAAGTCTGATCTGTATACTGCCGAACAGGCAGGGCATAGTGCGGAGGAGCCCCATCTTTTTGAAATATTAACAGATCCTTCCGATAATTGTGCTCATTTTCAATAATATCAGTGAGAAGGGGGGTAATAGTATCTTTCAGAAGCTTCAGATACATTTGTCCGGTTAAATTGCTTTCTGAAAACAATGGGCTAACAATACGGTCACCAAAAATTCCAGCCCATACATTTAATTTTTGTGGAAGTTGAGTATGCACTTCATGAAAAATGTGAGGATTTGAATCAGCCCAATAGCGACAATTATGGCGATTAACTGTGGCATTTACAAAAAAACAACATTCATCACTAAGCAAATGTTAAAAACAAAATGTGGATTTTCCTCCGCTCGTTCACTAACCAACTCGCATCGAAATACAGAGATCGTGTACTATTCCGTGTAAGGAATCACACGTTAAAAGGTAAGACCTCGTTAGTCCTTAGCTCGCACAAGTTTCTCAACTTGGAAGTTCACAGTTTTAGTANCACTCAGTATGAAAAATCACCAAGTGACCTCAAGAAAAACATTAGGGTACATTTGAAAAAATACATTTTTGAAATTCGCTACCTTAGTTTTAATTACATTAAATTGTTTAATATTATTCTTGAAAAAATTCACAAAATCTCATATCATAGTTGTACTTTAACCCATAATAAATGTTGTGAAAAACTTTTCTTCAAACCAGAAAAATCTGTCTGAAAATTTGTATTTTGAAATATACATAAATAAATCGTCAGTTGAGTTTTAATTATATTTTCTTAAAAATTCAAATTCATAAGAGATGTGGAAGATGAAAGATTTTTTTTGTTTTCAGAATTTTTTGCGACCATTCCGAGAACACCATATTGATCCAACGTCCATAACCCGCCATGATTTCATAGAAACCAACGGCGATAATTTTGCTGTTGCGATACCATTCCTGGGCCTTATGGTGTGGGATTTCCTCACTTTGTCCAAAGAAGATGTTCAAAATAGGTTTACATGGTACTGTTATATTTTTCTCCTGGCAATTTTTGTAGCCATGACCAATCAGGTTTGTACTGAATGATTAAGTTTTTTACTTTATTTGGTAAAGTATCAAATAGGGTCATCGAATATTATTTTCCAATAACAATCTATCACTGTATTAAAGATAATGAAGGCCACTAAATTTCGGAATTTCGGAACCAGTTAGATAGAGCAACAGTTGAAGAATAATGTCTCAGTGTTACTTATCCTTGGCAAAGTCTGGTATTGAGAATCAATGATAATAATAATTTTAATAATTTATTTCCCAAGAGACAAAATATTGAATTGGAATAAAGACATATTCTTATGAGATATCTTCTGGAAAGAATTCATCTGTTGAATAAAAACAAAATCGTTTTGAATTATCGAAAAGTGAAGTTGCGTGAGTTAGATGACATTGTAAAGATATTAAACTTGTTAGCTTTATATTGCATGAGTATTTGACTATGAAAAAGCTCTGTTGAATGTGGTTGCCGCGCGAACTCACTGTTGACGAAATACACGAACGTCTTGATGATTCTGAGCAGTGTTTGGCCATTATTGAACATAACAAACCGAATTTTTTTCGTCGATATGTAACAATGGATGAAACATCAATCCATCACTTCACACCGGAGTCAAAACCAGACATGGTATATTAGCTATACATGATGGTGGTTAAACCCATGATAACATACGCATCTCTGGTCTGGTGGACAAAGATGAAGCAGGCGACCGCCATCAACAAACTAGGCAAGGTGCAAAGACTTGCATGTTTGGGAATAACGTGAGAAATGAGAACAACCCCAAGAACTGCATTGAAGGATGGGCCAATTCAGGATGGAAAACTCACTGAACTACAGAAGATCGAACCGAACAGAAATTTCGGAATATGCGCACGCACCACATGACACCGAAGTACACCTTTAACACAAACTTCACGGCCAAAATAATAAGCCGTGAAGAGTACAAGACCATTAGTCATCCCGAAAACATGTTTGGTAAAAACACCTGGTATACAGATCGATCGAAGACCAAACATGAAACGGGAGCTAGAATATACCGAGCGGATAGAAATTTAAACTACAGTTGTGTGCAAGACTTAAATTGAGACCTCAAAGAAATGAGCTGATCAATATTTTAACAGACAGCAAGAGCGCACTAGGGGCTCTGACAAACCCGAAGGTGACATCAAAACTGGTCTGGGAATGCCATGAAGAACTGAATGAACAAACAAACCGGAATTTTTGCGTCGATATGTGACAATGGATGAAACATGGATCCATCACTTCACACCTGAGTCAAAACTATCGTCATATGAGTGTAGAGCAACTGGTGAAACTCGTCCAAACCGCCCGAAAGCACCACAATTGGCTGGAAAATTTAGGACCTCGGTATTTTGAGATGTGTATATTCATCGAGTATCTTACGAAGGGAAATACCATCAACAATTAATATTATATAGCGTTATAGGGCATTTGAAGGCCGAAATTGCAAAGAAACGACCGCATATGGCAAAGAAGAAAAATGTGTTCATCAGGCTAACACACCGTGTCACAAGTTAATCAAAACAATGACAAAACTGCCGTATTTTGGCTTCCAGCAACTACCTTTGGCACGACCTCAAAAAAATGCTCACCGGTATAAGGAATTTCGCTCGAATGAAAAGGTTATTGCTGAAACTAGGGCGTATTTTGAAGCAAAAGATAAATCGTTGTACAAAAGTGGTATTGAAAAGGTAAAGCGGCTCTGAAATGATTTTATGGCTCTTGGAGATTTTGTTTATGAGTAAAGCCAATTTTGAACAAAAAAAACGCGTTTTCTTTCTTTGGTCCAGGTCTTTTCGTCCCATGTGTTAAATAATTCCACAACAAATGATTCATTAAGATATATTACCAAATACATTTTGTCGCGCCCAAAGCGAATCACACAATGCAATCGAAGCTCTTGGCTCCTACCGAGCAATGTCTGAATTGGTAGCAAATTTCCACCTTGATAGGAAGACTTAACAAATCGTCTCTGGTCTGGATTCCTGGACATATTGGCTTGGAAGGCAATGAGGCTGCTGACTCCCTCGCAAAGGAGGGTGCTGCAAGAAGCTTCATTGGACCAGAACCTGTCATTGGCATAGCTTCAGGCTTTGCCAAACAAACATTGAACAACTGGACTTCTGGCAGAATCTCCAAGGCGTTTATTCACCCTTCGAAGCTTGATACCAAACAGTTGTGGGAATACAGTAGGGATGAACTACGATGTCTAACAGACCTTCTCACAGGTCACTGTCATTTGAGTCGTCATATGCAGCGACTCGGACTGTCAGAAGACAGTGTGTGTCGCCTCTGTTTGGAAAATGATGAAACAGCAGAGCATCTTTGTTACTGCCCCGCTGGAGACCGAATCAGGTTTTTAGAGTTCGGCAGAGCCGTATTCTTACCATACAAAGTAATCGGCTTCGTTAAAAAGCTGGGTTTATTTGGCCGAGTGTGAATAGGTGTAAGCCACAATAAACCATTGCGTGTTGCGGTGGAGGGTCGAATCGACCCACTCACTATGGCCCTAACCTAACCTAAGGCCTATTTTGAGGCAAAAAAGATAAATCGTTTTACAAAAGTGGTATTGACATGGTAAAGCGGCGCTGTGGCTCTTGATGGAGATTACGTTGATGAGTAAAGCCAATGTTGAACCAAAAAAAAACGCGTTTTCTTTCTTTTGTCCGGGTCTTTGTTAAATAATTCCACAACAAATGATTCATTCAGATATATTACCAAATACATTTTGTCACGATCGCATTGTATGTGAATCATACAATGTGATCGAAAGGATGAACCGCCACTCTGAGACGGTTCTGACACAGGAAGTTCGTAACATGTTGATTTATGAGAGCATTCGAATTAAGTAGGATATACACAGAAGTCTCAACGAAAGTTTGAGACGAAACGTGGATTAGTACAAAAGCGAAGAAAAGACAGTGAAATAATGTCATAGTGGGATTGAAGTCTAGTATTAAGTTGAAATTTGAATTAATAAATATTGTAACGAATTAAAGAATGAACTGTCTTAAACAAATTTATTTTTAACAATATTTCACTGTCACAACTAATTTATATACAACACTTATACAACTAACGCTTAATTTATCTTCACAGTTCGTATTCTTTATTGAAACACACGATTTACTTTCTAGATACAGACTGTCATCTCGGGACGGGAAGCCGGCTTATATATTGGCAACGACTGTGCTAGATTTCTCTAGTTGTTTCGGTAGTAGCCTAGACTGTTCGCGTCGACTTGTCGAGTTCATTCCTTTCGCGATGAGTCATGTGTTTATTTGCTGGCTGAGATATCGGTCAGGGCCGGCTTCAGATTCGTTACAATATAGTTGTAGAATTTGAATAAACGTACCACTTTTTCATTTATGAAGAAACCACGGATAGTCGTAACAAGGTGACAGTGGATGGTTTGTAACAAAAGGTGTAAATAATTTTCATAACTATACAGCCTAAATTCAGATGATATATCTGTTCATGGTATCTCTGTTGATAGTTTGAGTGCCGATTTAGGTTCTCAGTCGCTAGACGATATTGTTCAGGTAAAAAATTGAGTATTACTGGAGTTTTTTGATCTTCCTCGATCCTCCTTGGTGATCAAAACACGTGCCGAGGTGTTAAAATAACGGTTTGGTGTTGGGAAAAAACTCCAGTAATATTCATTGATACACCAAAGTTTCCAAACAGTCCATCACAAGACAAAACTAAACATCAATCTTTCTTAGTAAAAATTATATTGATGATGAATCGTTCAGATTTTTAGATCGAATCGTCTTTCTGACATTTTCAATATTCTCGTCCGCAGATTCACAAGTGGTCTCACACATACTTCGGCCTTCCCAGCTGGGTGGTGTTTCTTCAAGAATACCGCATCATCCTGCCGCGGCGCCACCATCGTATCCACCACGTCGCGCCACACGAAACCTACTTCTGCATCACCACCGGCTGGCTGAACTGGCCGATGGAAAAGCTGCGATTCTGGAGTGCCTTAGAAACGGTCATTGAGGCGGCGACGGGCATCAAACCGCGCGCCGACGATCTCAAGTGGGCTCAGAAGGGGACGTAATGGCGGACGATCGTTTTTGTCAATTATTTCTACAGCCGTTTGTCATAAATCTCTGAGCACCAAATAAAAGAAGCATACAAACGATGTTCACTTATTTCTAAGTTCTAATATCCTAAGCAATTCTGTTTTCGAGACTGGGGTCCTTTTTGTTATAAATAAATGAATACTAAACGAATCCTTCTTTTCATTTCATACGCCTATTCAAGTCGGAAAATTTCAGTACAAATTATCTGCTTATGGTGATAACATAAAAAACCCGAATTCATTTGATGTTACTGAGAGAATTAGTATTTATTCTAAAGTGATGACTACAATTCCTTCAAAAATAATACCATCAAATATTCAAATTTGCTGGGTTTGTTTTCATGTTCATCATCTCGCCATAAGAGGTGCGTCGGATAAGGAACTATTTGATACATTAGTGTGTCAGATGTAGATTCATTTATTGCTTATACGACAAAGCATAAACAGCTATATAGTAAAAAACTTGTAACATCGATATCGCTAATTGTGTCGCACGAGAACGACAGTTGGTGACTGAGGGAGCAGATGTCTGTCAACCCTAGCAAAACTGTGATATATCCCTTCACCAGGAGGAGAAAACTGGACGATCTAACGCCAGATGGACTGCATACAGACTTGTGCACATTGCCAATTACACAAATCAATTTAATGCAGAGTGCCACAGACTGTTGGTTGACACTGGAAGTCACAGCATTCTGGAAATGACCTCTGACTTTATGCCTCCAACTGTCAACTACGAACTGCCTTATAAAGCACTGTACTCTCTACTCCTGTCCTCTCTACTCGGGTACTTATAAAGTACCCGAGTAGAGAGGACAGGACAGATATCAACCTGCCTAGGAACCTATGCGACTGTATTTCAAGCGAAAATTTACGTTATTGAATTGTGTGCGGAGAGATTGGAAGAATCCAACCTCATACACAAGTCAATAAAAATATTCTTGGACAGTCATGCGGCGTTGGAAGCTCTAGGCTCCTACCAAGCAACGTCTAAATTGGTAGCAAATTGCCAAAAACGACTCTCCTCGATAGGAAGACTTAACAGATTGTCTCTGGTCTAGATTCCTGGCTATACCGGCCTGGAAGGCAATGGGGCTGCTGATTATACATGTCAATGACATCGTTTTAGGCTTTGTCAAACAAATATTGAACACCTGTAATGCAAGAAGATTTATGGACTTCTGGCAGAATCTTCCTCGATTGTCTCACTCCAAGGCGTGTATGCACCCTTCGAAGCTTGATACCAAACAGTTGTTGGACTAAAGTAGGGATGAACTACGATGTCTATCAGGCCTTCTTACAGGTCACTGTCATTTGAATCATCATATGCAGAGACTCGGACTGTCGGAGGATATTGTATGTCGCCTCTGTTTGGAAAATGAAGAAACAGCAGAGCATACAGGTACTTTGTGCCTGCTCCGCTGGGGACCGAATCAAGTTTTTAGAGTTCGGCAGAGCCGCGCGTGTCAATATACTAGTATAGACACGCCTGAAGAAGCTTTTGTATAGCAAAACATGTGTTGCGTTTTTGTAAAACTGTATTGCCTCACAATGAGGTGTTCCTTGAATTGACTAGAATATAACGATATTTTTTTAATTCAATTATTTTTTTTCCCTTCATATATCGAATTTCACATTAATTGTAACAGTACTATTTTCTATAATTTCTAAACTATATTCATCTAACAAACAAAGTAACTCAAACAAAGATATATGCGTGATCCAAGCATGATCACCACGCACATTTGCATCTATTGGGTAAAATAAACAAGCCTCCTTACGCTGGCCAATTAGATTCAACTGCAATCGGCTAGCGGAATTCATATTACAGTACCGGAGTGGTCATTTTTATGTTTTAACGCTTGTGGTGTGTACCTAAATATACGGTATTTTGAAGTTCATTTTGACATTTCTCTGTGGCATGCACAAACTACTTACTCTAAAGTGGTTTGTGGTGTCATGCATGCGTCTGAAGAAACTGTTAATTTGTGTCCCTACACTTCACCAGAAAAATTTTCCTATACCCAGCCGCAGACTATTAAAAAAAATCGGTCATTCTTTAATGCGATGCTTACAAGCAGCCTTGTAAGAGTCGCTATTCGTCCAATATAATGCGAAGTTTTCATCAGTTTTCAAGATTTATCTACAGATGCAGAATATACACGCAAAAACACGCCCTAATCTGAGGCGTTTTCTGGCACTCATGTATTCAAAACGTATTTGTCTGTGATTCAAATGCATTTGTTCTGGCCTTGAAACGATGACGTCACATCAACTACGATTTGAAACGTATTAATGATGATTCAAAACTAGCGTGAGGTTGGTTTTGAAACAGAATTCGACGTTACGTTACGTTAGTTTTCAGTTTCTGCTTTATTTTGATCGTTATAGTTTATAAAATGGTGAAAACTATTTATCAAATACGTTGTAAGCATTTAAAAAATATAACTGGGAAATATTATTACTTGCATAAATCTGATTCTAATTTACCTTAGAGAAAATTGAAAAGTATGTTTTTATTATTGTATTTGACATCTGACACAAATTGAATAATTCCATTCTGGCGAATTTTATTGTTAATGACGCTCGAATAGGTGCATTTTGTTCTACTACATCTATTCCGGATTGAGTCATTCCAGCCAAAAGTTATTATCTGTCTTAGTACAGTGGTACATCTATTGGATTCGCCTTTGGAAAGAGAAAGATGAAATGATTTTGAATCCATGGTGTCTTTATATTTAATATTATCTTATCATTCGCAGTTTCTCTCTTCAATGCAGTTCGCAAGGTATCAATTATCTGTGTCAGAGGTAATTTTATTGAACAGAGAGAACCGGAATGAGATATTCTGAATGAAATTAGTGAGAACAAAACGCACCCTATAATTGACCTTATTAAGGATGCGACCCCATGGTTGCCAACTACGGTAAAATAACATTTGACAATTTGACATTTGCTAATGAATAAATAACCTATCTTTCTGAGTTCCTTCTGCATTTTCATTTTTGGGACATAATTGGGACATATTTCTTCATAGCTGATTCTTCATTCTGGAGCCCCAACTTCATATAGCACGACTGGAAATCTGTTTTCAGCCATATTCTGGAAATCAGTTTCTCATTTACCAAAAAGGAAAATGCAGAAGGAACTCAGAAATATAGGTTATTTATTTATTAGCAAATGTCAAATGTCATTATTTTACCGCAGTTGGCAACCATGGGGTCGCATTATTTAATAAAATCAATTTCATAACTCAGAGTAGTTTTCTGTCACTGTCAACTGTCAAGCTTTTTATTATTTTTGATGTAAGATGGCATCAGCAAGCAGTTATTTATTTACTTTTTTGAAGGGAAATAAGATTGTCTTGCAAGTCAATTGAATTGGAAGTTTACCAATAGAAAATCACAACTCATTTCCTCATGTTCCAATATTCAACACCCACCGAAAACTCCGACCTTGAAAAATGAATCGATATGGTGTTATGTTACATGGAAATGACGAAGTTCACCCGCGTTTATTTAGGTTAACTGAATCGCATTTCAGATTATTTATAAACTATGGGATGGGGTTTAGTAATAGGCAACCAATATAGATTTTGTGAAGGTGTTGGGAATATTGAAGAACGAAATGGCGCTTTCAAGAGCATTGTTAGTGAGTAATATCAATAATAATTCACTTTCCAAATCACCTATTTTCAGTGGTTTTTCCAAGCCTCGCCCGCCTTCCATGGACATGATCGAACGTAATCTTTATCTCTGTGGTATAGATGAAGTTACTGATATCGAAGTATTGAAACAGCATGAAATAACACACATACTGACCATAAATGATATTCCCCTGCCAGGATTCGTGAAAAGGGCCTGTCCCTACATGAAGATGAAGTTTATCATGGCAGAAGACGCACCTCATTCGGACCTTCTCTCGTATTTTGATGAAACATATGAATTTATCAAGGACGGTTTGTCTCGGGGCGCAGTGGTGGTGCACTGTGTGATGGGGGTTTCGAGAAGTGCTACTATAGTTATCGCATATCTCATGAAGAAGTACAAATTGAGCTACAGGAAAGCATCAGCTATGGTAAGATCAAAACGACCTGTTTGTCCCAATACTGGATTCGTTAAACAGTTGGAAAACTATGAGCAATTGGGGTATAATACACTCTATAGGTTTTCTAGAAGGTATTGATAATGAAGTGAATAAAGAGCAGCTATTTGTTGAATTTGGATTGGTTTTATTTTATCTGATGTTTCTTAAGTAAGTCTAAAGCAGTCTAATAAAGAATTAATTAAATGAAATGTGACTGATATAATCCGTAATAGCAATATTTCAAAAAAATGTTATCGCTGACTGTCGGTTGTTGCTGAGAGTACCTTTGTCCACGCAGTAAACGCATATACCGCTGATAACATATGCCGCAATAGCAGACAAAAATTTGGTACTAAAAATTCCATTCAGCCACAGCCTAGCATGATATGTTCTATCCAATTCCTTGGGATATCAGAAAATAGAATCAATTGACCAATAACGAATGAAAAACCCTAATTCAACTTCATTATGATTAAAAAAACTAATTAATAGTGAAAATCATACAATAAACTGTATTTATTAGTTTTTTAATATGGATTTTCATCAAGTATCGGCCAGTTCTATTCAATTCATTATGATTCAAAAACATAACAAAACTTTCAGTATTAGATTGAAATCTATTCACTTATAGTATTTTTGTAACTTTTTTTACATGTACAAATTAAAATTCAATATCTGTAGGAGGAAATAGATGTTTTTTCTAGATGACTCTTAAAAAAATTATTGCCAAAACAGATTTTTCCAAAAGTAGAAATAATAATATACATGCTGATTGATGTTAAATTGATCTTGCAGTACTTAATACTTACAACAAATGTTTAATTTCCAATGTCTGCTATTATACAATGCAGACTTCAATACGAATAATTATTGATTGAGCAATTTGCCTCCATAATGACAATAAAGCATTTCTGACTCCGACTCTTGTGTATTAGCAATACACCAACTTAATTCCTTACATCAGATAATATTATTTTATGTACCTCAACAATACTAGTAATATTATTGACATAACAAATACTTCTTACATTTCAGTTATTTTGTAAACTTATTGATTTGAAGACTTGTTAAATAAAAAAAGTAACAATCGTTGAACAATCACAAATTCAAAATTCATTTGTATTAGGAATCAAGCGCCATAGAGAGAATAAACTAAAACTAGTCTTGAGGATCAGATCACATCAGGGTATCCTTATACAAATCCATAAGCCTGGATATAGTGGAACAAAATGTCAGATTCAGCAGCAGAACATTATCTTTGCCTAATATTAACCTTCTTAGCACTGGGTGAGGTGAGTTCTCACAGCAGGTTGAACTATCATGCTTGTGAATTTTTATACCGCAATTCTTTTTTATATGTAGCATTCCTATGAATAATATCTGATTCCATAACGAATGTTTGGAGTATAAACTGAATAGGAAAAATTAACTTATATACAACACAAAGTCAGTGTACAAAAATGTTTCTTGTTGCATACACTGGCAATCCTCTCCCATCCTCTCCAATCCAATCCTCGTTACTTTGTATTCACAACAGCTTCACTATATTCAATAGAGTTCAGACAAAATAAATATAATTGTTCAAAGATTGACAAAATTTCACAAGAAAGTATCATTTCAAAACTTTCACAGCTTCCAACAAAAATCCTAACTAAAATTTATCGACCAAATTCAATATATGCTGTTGCTCCTGATCCCTCCAATCCTTATCTCCTTCTTCGCCCAAGTTTCCTGCGTATTCTCTCATAATATGCTTGATGGTTTTCAAAGAGGCTCCCCTCAAGTTCAAAATGTGCATGACCCGTTGTTTGATGCTAGCAGGGCCTGCAGCGCATACCTCTACTATTATATAATCAACCAACTGCAATATGAATAGGCCCCCTTCCAACCTTTTCAAATATGACGCTTCCTCATCTGAAATTTAAAATCAGCAACTGAAGCGCAATTACCACAATTTTTATTATAGACCAGGCTACTGTTTGTTAGAGCACATAGAGAATATATTTTATAAACATCTTAGATACAATTACACAGTGTGTAACAAAGTAAAATCAGAATATACTTTATTATCTGAAGATTTACATCTTATTGACAGAGTCAATGAAAATAATTGTGAAAATAAAATCAGGTTAACTTTTGTGAATTGTAATGAGGTCTATCAGTTCACAATTTTTTTTAAATAGAAAATTGCCACAGTTTGCTGACTTCAATAAGAATGATTATTGATTGAACAATTTACCACCATTATGACAATAAAGCATTTCTGATTTCGACTCTCTGTTCTTTGCAATACACCAACTTAATTCCTTACATGAATCAGATATTATTTTATGTAACTCAACAATACTAGTAATATTATTGACATAACAAATACTTCTTACATTTCAGTTATTTTGTAAACATATTGATTTGAAGACTTGTTAAATAAAAATAGTAACAATTGTTGAAAATCACAAATTCAAAATTCATTTGTATTAGAAATCAAGCGCAAAAGAGAGAAAAAAAAAAACAAAGTTCATAACAAGTTGGTCCTTAGAGCCGGATATTAAACACACTTAAAAAATCAAAAGATTACATTCTGCAATGTCTATCATTGATTTTTTAAATTATGTACACACACATATAATATATATGGTGGTTGCTCTTCCGTAGATTCCTTAGACTATTACTCACCATCAGCATTATCCTCCATTTGATCCTCAACCAATTCGACCTTTTCCAGATATTTGAAATGCAGCTCCAAAAGTCTGTCGACTTTTTCGTGATCATTCTCAGTGAATTTGCTGACAAGCCTTTGTCTTTGAGACCCTCTACAGTTTCTGAGCATAGACGCTATTATAGAACAGACGTGCTCCTCATGTGCCTCTGTCGACAGCACTTTTCTCCTGTTTTTCTTTGGTGTCTTCATAAAAAGTGGAAATATTGTTCGAAGACCTTAAAATAAAGAATGATGAATCCTTTTTCAATAAAAATAAAAAGCTGCAGGTACCGACTCTTCTTATAGGACAGCCTTTATAAAAATCGGTGAACAATAACTAATAATGATGAAAAAATAATTAAACAACTTAAAATCAAGAAATATGCTTGTAGTCGAGCGAAAAACGTAACAAACAGTTTCATATTATTCTTTAAACAACATTTTTCGTGGAGGACTCAATATTTTATACTGTTTTTTTGGGTTTATAACCTTCCACAAGCAAATTGTGGGAGGTTATAAACATTTAAACAGTTTAAAAAAGTTTCATAGTACTAATTGCATATTGATATAGATAATGCAAAACAATCAATTTGCAACTGAATGAATGAAAATGATAAACAATTGAGTATGAGTAATGATTTCTTTCTTTAAAATAATTTTGTTTTATCACACGATCGGTTGAGTTTATTACAGTAGGAATGAATTGAAAATTTGGTTGAAAAATTTCTTGAAATCTGAATTAACATTCTATATTTGAACTTATATTCAAACAAGTGTATTTTTTGTGATATCTTCTTATTGTTTGCTTCCATTTCATATGTATTAACTTTTTTACTGCAGTATAAGAAATGTCACCCTGTACAACGCCTAGCATAGCCAATATGTTTGCCATAAAGACAAGTTATTCAAGTGGTGTTTTGTCTTTTACATTAGGAAACATATTGTAGAATGATATTTCAAAAACCTTTACTAAATTAAGTGAATAAAACCAATTTGGTCAATATCCCAGTTTCAAATTTGGGAATTTTTTAGATATTTTCCATACATAAGGAAGATAAATATTCAGTAATAATTACCTAATATGTCAACAAACTTATTGCAGTTATCCTTGCCATGTGGCCCAGACATGGCGTAATCTAAGACTTTCAGTGAGCCGTTACGAGACGTTTTCTTCTCTCTCAACATGAGGTTCATTAGTTGTAACCCCTCGCCTTTAAGAAAGTGGTCTCTATTCTGAACTACCATCAAAGCACTGCAGAGGCAATTGAACAAATTTTCCATCAACTCGTGCTCTTCTGGGCTGCTCGGATCGTGTCGCTTGTAGAAAGCAAGTTGCTGTAGCAAAGTGTCGATTCCATCTATATTTCCCAATGCAATTTGATTTTTTTCGTTGTCTTGCAGCAAGATAGATAAGATCTCGCTGACATAGAGTTTGTTTGCATCGAAAGGCGCTTTGACTTTGAGCCTTTTGAGCAACCATGTCAATAGGCCTTGTTTTGCAGCTTCGTTTGTAATGTCGCTGCTCAATTCAGTTAAATTTTCTATAATTGAGAGAGTGTTGTGGACGCCATCTGCCTCTTCTTTAACAGATTCATCTAGTCGGTCTAGATTTTGTACCAACAAGGCTATTACTTGGTGTTCTAGTAATGCCTCAATAAGAGTGTCAGCACCTTCCTCTGATTCATTGAGAATATCAACGTCAGTCAACTCCTGCAACAATTCAACTGTGGCGACCTAGAATTGAAAATGTTTAGTGGTTTGAAAAGGAGGTAATTATTTGTTTTGATGGTTCGCTCTGGTTTTGTCAAAGTCAAAACCAACATATTACCGAAATTCAAACAATAAACGAAAAGAGAACTCAAGTTTCTTACCGATATATCTGTATTATCATGTGCCAAGAGTTCCAAAAGGCTTGGTATCACCTGTAATTTAACAAGGAGAGGGTAGTAGTCTGGAGCTGTGGCCAAAACCCTCATTTCTTGCAGAGTTTCATGTAACTCCACTTCGCTATCCATGAACTTTTCCGGAGAATCAGGAAACTTGATTCGCATCTCCCTGTTCTTCAAACTCCGTTTTTCAAAATTCAAAACAATCTTTTTTAATGTGGTTTCATCAATTACTTCTCCCTGAAATCATAAAACTCAGTCTTTTGAACTTCTTAATTGCTTTTGACTTACCTGAGTCTGTTCGGTTTCTACAAACTTTAGAATTTCAGCTCTCTCTTCCTCAGTTATATTTTCAAGAGGTTGAACTGACGGAGTTGGGGACACTGGCCTTGCCATTTTACTGGCTTTGGCTCTGGCGATTCTTCGCATTTTTCGGGCTCTTTCCAGATCATCGCCCTCATCTTCAACTTCGACGGGTCTTTTGAGGGCTTGAGGTGGCTAAAACAATTATTATAAGAAAACGTGATTATGAATAAATTATAATATACCTTATAATCTAAGAGTTCGCCAATATCCATTCTTAATTTAAATTTCCTATCTACAAAATCTACGATTCAAATTCTTCTCTATGAAGCTGAAAAGTGAGGTTACATATATATATTTCTCTCTAGGATGATGGCTTTTGCCTTAGATTAGGTAAAAGTATATCTTTCCTTGTCTAAGGCTTTTGCTACCGTACATATATATATTTTCAAATGGTAATTAAAAACAGTGTTACCAATCGGAGACGCAAGTCGCTATGCGAGTCAAAAAAAAAGGCGCTACGGAGACAAACATTCCACTATGGTATGATAAGAAATGCGCAATGCAGTACTTTTTGTGGTGTCCTATCCACACATTGATCTATGACTTAAGTTTCTAGAATGATTCATAATGCTAACAGAGTGTAATCGACGTAGGTATGTGTGCATTTCGATTTCTGTCGTGCTCTCTAAGACATCGATGTCAATGGAAAGTTGTGAAATTCCTCCATTTTACAATCAAATTCTTCAAATCAATTCGAAATCCTCTAACCATTCCACGCACATGAGGGTATCAATTACATGGTTTCGAGAGAAGGTAATATTGGATATTAACGCCACGGCATGAGACTAGGAAAAAGATGACACTCTTACATATGAAAACCCAGGAGGAATGTAGGAATACCACGGATTTGAAAGGAATGAGAGTTCTACGAACAAATACATTCATTCCGAACAAAAATGTTTGACTAAATGTTAATAATACCAGTTCAATAGTGTTTATTCCAAGATATAATTAAATTTTTTGCTACATAATTCTGAGTTTCTGTTACGCCGCTACACGGTTCAGAATTGATAAGTTTTTGTACTAAAATTTAAATAATAGTGTAGTGCGGTACGAACTGCAAACTTCGACATGTTATGAAAAATTATTGCATCTCAAATTTCAAGTTATTTTACTTGGTTCCGATAGAGCACAGCGAAATCTACATTTCACTTTTATGAGATGAGTTATTTATATTAAACAGTTTTTCATGTTTCTTAGTGTTGGCACCATTTGGTTTTATAAAACTGTAAATTTTGTACGAGGTAGGTGGTTTCTGTTTTGCAAATTGAAATTCTTTGAAGAATATTTTCTATTCCATTCATAATTGAAATTCGCAGTAATGATCGTAGTGAATAACCCTATTCTCACTAATTCAAAATCAATCAATTCAAAACACAGCTCACTTCAGAATATTAAACATATTTAGCCGTACAGGTCCAAAAAAATAAGAGTCATCAAATTTATGAATCAAGTATTTGTCATTCAACACCACCATTTAATGAAAGTATAGTGCCCTCATCGGAAAAAAATTAAACTCACCATTAAATTTGACAACGAAGCTCGATATGAAATGTCACCTGTCAATTACATAATTAGAGGTTAACCTGGATTTTTCATATTGAAGAAGTAAAATAGAATCCACAAACATGTCTGCTGCTCCTAGTAGTAGAATAGTAGCGCTATGGAAAAGAGGCTGGCACGAAATACCTGAAATAATGGGAAGTTCCATAATGGGATTGATGGGAATCGGAATGACGGTTGCTTCGGTTTACTACTACTATGCCAAAGATGGAGACAACCGAAGGTACAAAGAAAGATACACAGTATACAGACACGACGACCCCAGAGTAGCTAGGATCAGGAAGGATTGAAATCGAGTTTACATGTAGTACCAATTTATTAAAAAGTGATACAAATAAATACAACAAGGTCTGGTAATGTAGTTTTCATTCTCAAATATACAATAAAACTATTTTTACAATGTATAAGACAATTAAAATTAATAAGTAATGAGAAAAACAATTTTCACTTATATCTGTTAATGTATATATTACAAACTCAACACCAAGAAAAGAAGGGGCTTTTGTCTTGGAAGCGTTGTGTGAAATTAAAAAATCGAGAAGTATGTTGACTCTGCGTTCTGAAAAAGAAAAAGTTGTGAGTGGATAAGTCAATCGACAGCAGCTATTAAAAACCTACCTTTCGACAACAACAGCAGGCATTTGTACCAACTGTAGAGGCGACTTACTGTCCTTCAGAGCTTGGGTTAAATTTAATATTTGGCCCCGCATTACAGACATTTGACGTTCATATAGTGTTCTATCGAAACCTTTATCTTGTTTAAAAAGTAAGTGTAAATCATCACAGAGGTCCTAAAATACAAAGAACTGGTGGTTGAGAAGTTGTCTATACCAATTATATCAGAGACTATAATTTACAATTATTAAACAATAAAGGGTTCAAGTAACACTTCATTTTAAGATTTTCTGCAGGCAGCTTGTGAAACCGTGATGAAATCGGAATAAAATGTTAATTAAATGATTGATATTCATTAAATATCCACAAAGGCCATCACATATAATGAATCTTTATGCACAAGTCTTTCTCTTACATGTCTATGTTAGAAGAGAAAGTGAATCAAATTTTTGTATGTTCTTTACAACATCAAATAAAAATAATAAAGTCAATTGAATTATATGAATATGCAAAAATAAAAGAATAATCTTGTTCTATTCGTCATAAATCCAATATTTGTTTTGAGAATATAGCTAAATCCACAGAGATATAAAAAAACTTTCAAATCAGAAACCTTCAATACAGCAGTACTGTTGAATTCATTCAATTTGTTTAATTGCCTTTCAACAAAAATGTGAAATGAAATTTACAAAATAGTTCATCTGTTAACGAATTAATGAAAAACTCCTATCGAATTTTCTAGCAGAATCTTTCATCAGCCATAAATTCAGCAAATCTGAATGAAAAGGTAATTCTACTGAGACATACCTGCACGAAATTCATATCAGTAAGCAACGGCAGCACCAGGTCCTTGGTCTGCTTGCTGAACGGAATCTTGGCTTGAGGCAACCATGCCCAATGGTATGGGTATGCCCTCCAGCTGTCCGGGTGTTTGTAGGGAAACGCCAGTCCATTATCGATGGCCGCTATGCTAATTTCCGGCGCCTGCACCAGATTCCACTCCTTGATATCACAGAGTTCGACTTGAGCACTCACCGTATTTCCGTTCACGATCGCCGGCTGATCATACTTGATCAACCAGTTGTCGTTACCGCGGTCTGTATTTCGTATTATGTAATCCAGGATGACGAGGCGTTCGAACTGCAGCTGGAACTTCTGGGCGATGCCTTGAGGTAGCGGCTCAACTTCGAATCGCCTGAGCCAAAAGTCGGCGTCTTTGTAACCATCTACAAATAGCTGGAACGAACCGACCTACAAAAGAGCACGTCGTATTACGGCTGTGGTGAGAATAGTAGTGATGGACATATTTGAAACACCATCAGAATCTAGAAATGTAGGCTTTCACAGCTGGCGTCAATGTTTTGGTTGGTTTCTGGATTTTGCTATGGGGTCTTTTTTGGTTACAGTTGAAACATTAGGAGATTGTAACCAAAGAAGACCACAGCAAAACCCGGAAACCAACCAAAACAACATCAGAATGATTTATTTATTCAAGGGTTTCAAAACCCATTTCACAATCACAATCTCCCTTTTGAAATTGCAAACAAAGTAATGAAGATACTGATTTGTTCCGCAGAGTGATTGAGAAAATGTACCTCTACTTCTAGTGAATTTAGGAGAGGCTCAACGTCAATTTCGTAAATGACCTATTTAAAAAACTGTCAGACTCAATCCAGTGTCAATATTGGTGATTAGATGAGTTCATTTACATAATTGTCATGGAAGCATTCATTCAATTTGCAACATATTGTTTTATTTACTTTGAAAGAATGATAATAAATCCAATTGTATTTATAAAATATGTACAATTCAGGATTGATAATGAATTGCTGCCCAGAGCTTAATGCTTTGTGTGCACTTCAAATGACAAATATGTAAACATACACAAAATTGCAATCCATAAAAAAAATTGTTAAAGATGGAGGCCATGGAAGTCTTTGCAGAATTGTTCGTTTTGCGGTATTCAACGGAAATCAATTTTGCTGATTACACAAAAACACCTATTACTAAAAAAACATTTTAAGCAAAATATTGAACATGTATAGGTCAGACCAGAATATGGTCAAATCAGAGATCACCAGAATTGACAAAAAAAAAACTACAGTACATTATTCATAAATGAAAGAAAAGTATGAGCAAAAAGTTCTCATATTATTTGCCAAAGAGGCTTTGAACTGATGTTTCATAACCTCGATGTTGAAAATCTTGTTCATTTGATCGAAATCCATTAAGTTTCTTGCAAAATAATAAACATATAGAAATAATTTTGGAAAAATTTCAGAGATCAGAGATTCAGTAATCAGTAAAGAAAAAAGTAATACTCACTTTTGGCGGCAAACCTATTCTATTAAACCGTAAACCAACATTTGGAAACTGTTCCATAATGGCTCTTTTCACTCTAGCCTTTTCCCTATCTATCCTCAAGTAATTGAAGGTTTCCGAAACTAACTTAACCACCTGAAAATAAATGTACTCGAGGAATGTATACAGCAGAGATCTTTTTTAAAATACAATTAAAATAACGAAACACTCTAAAGAACAAAATAATTTTTGGGAAATAAAGGTTTGGGCTTCTACTTCTCCACTTGATACAAAGAAATGTGGAAATCCTTCAAAGAAAGGAAGAAAGCAATTATTTTCAAAATAAACTATATACAAAGATGGTTCAAGCAAAGAAATAACTTTCAGACACAAACTCTAGTAATTCTGAATGCTGTGAATAAGGTCTGATTCAATTAAATAATGAATGTTTGGAATACAAACTGGACAGAAAAAAGTTTTTTGTAAACTTCAACTACATATCTTTGTATAGAGTTTATTTTGAAATAATTTGCTTTCTTCCTTTCTTTGGAAAGTTCCCACATTTTTTTGTATAACGATGGAGAAGTAAAAAGCCGAAACCTTTCTTTTGATAAAATGATGTTCTATAAATTTGTGAATTCTCTATTTCCTTAATTATAAAAAAAAGCTAAATTTCAGAGATGTCAATTTTCAATTAAAATTGCCTAAATGTTGAGAATTTCTGAAAATGAAAATTATAATAAAATTGATTCATTTCAATGTTGACATAATTATTTTTTTGGAACTGTGAAATCTAATTTTTATACTCACTCTAGTTTTGGGCACTATGTTCAAATTGAGTTTATGATCGACCAAATAAGCGGCAGCTTCAGACAGATAACCCTGATTGGGTATCAGGCAGGACCTTCCGAAACAACAAGGACAACACAGTTTGTGCATCCATTTGGTCCATTTCGGATTCAGCCGCCCATAAGGTTCTTCATCTTTCGGCTTAAATACACCGATTGTTTTCTGAAAATATGAATAAAAAGCTAATTTTCTAAGATAGACAGATAATCTTCATTTCCATAACGACAATTTACAATTATATGGGAAATGAAGAGGATAGAAAAAAGTCTGGCAATCATTAAAATATTCTGATGATATGCAATAACATTCATATGAAATTATCAAAGCATTGTTTTGCAGAGTACATTCCAACATATGCATATGATGATTCAAATGACAGTGACCTGTGATCACTGGTGGTTTGGTATCAAGCTTCGAAGGGTGAATAAACGCCTTGGAGTGAGCCAATCCTGGAAGAGTCTGCCAGAAGTCCATAAATCTTCGTGCCATCCGGGTGTTCAATGTTTGGCAAAGCAATTTTTGGCAAAGCCTAAAGCGATGCCAATGACAGGTTCTTGTCCGATGAAGTAAAGTGGCGTTAAATCGTCCATTTATCTGCTCCTGGTGAAGAGGATTATCACAGTTTTGCTGGGGTTGACAGACATCTGTTCACTCAGGCACCAACTGTAAACAACGTTCATCGTGCTTTGGAGGATATTACAAGCTACCCTTTCCGAAGTGGACCTTGCCAAGATGACAAGATTATCTGCATAAGCTTGCATATCTACTTTTAGCTATTGGTACATGAAACTGCAAGTTGATAAAGAAATTGAGAAAAGTGCATATTTTTCAAAGGGGCAAATGGATAAATTTATAGAAGAACGTTAAACTGAAATCCTATTGTGATAATTGCCTGTGTTTCTAGCATCTACTCAATCACCTCGAAAACACAGTAAGATTTCTTTCCTAAATCTACAAAACAAAGATTATCTGCATATCTATTGGTGAGGATCTTTGAAATAAATAACATTAAGAAATGACTACAGATTTGGGAGTCTTTTTTTGGATGAATTTGGACAATACTAAATGACAATCAATGATAAATAAGTTCAATCCCAACAATGTGAGATAAGGTAGATTTATGAGGTATATTCAGAAAATAATGCCCCTTAAATATGATAAAATTTTAAGCTTCATTCTTTGTTTACTCTGTCCGTAGCAGCTGCTAAGGTTGTATGTGTTATCAAGAGTTCAGCGATTTTTGTTTGGATCAAAGAATTTCAATCAAATTTTGCGTAAAAATGAGAAAGGTAAAGTGTAACAGTTTGTGAAATGTTAACAAGGATCTATGGTGAGCCTGCTATGAATAAAACAAGAATTTACATGTGGTATAAGCGTTTCCAATGTGGTTGTTAAGACGTTGGAGATGATGAACGCCCCAACACATCAACAACCTATGAAAACTTGGAAAATGTAAAAAAAATGGTTATGAACGGTCGGCGAATAATATAATACGCAATCAGAATAATGACAGTTCTCTCAATTTTCAAGTTATTCCGGCCTTTTTTCTTCAAGATGTTAATTTGAGGTGCGAATTTGTCAAGTTTTGTAATTTGCTCTCAAATGTTGTCTTTAATATAAGAATTTTTTTAATATTCTTGCATTCAGCTATAAATATATTCCTCAGACTAAATTCATATTCAGCTCAAAAATGAACCAAATCAACTGGACTATCGAATATTTCTAGTGAAATGCATACTTCATTCACTGTTTTCAAGAATCAATAAAACTTGGCTATGAATGCATACACTTATTGTATGTACTATGGAGTAGCTACGTAGGAAACCACAAAAAGTATCAAATAACGTATGTGAGTAATAGGCAGCTGGATTAGTGTTATACTAATAGGGGGTGTACAAAGGAAAATAATCCTCCAGTCACAGAGTTCAAAATCAATCAATAACACATTCACCGGCAAAGAATTTTATGATAAAAAGAATACTAGTTATTTCAATTGTGTAATAGCAATATTTATATTTTAAATTATTTAAAACACCACCTGAGAAATTAATGAAACACCATTCAGACTTTTCAACAATCATATTTCTCAGTGAAATTCAGAACACAATTTACATAAAATAATTGAAGATGACAAATTGGTTTAATTAGTTGGTTCATGAGTGGACTTTATGGTATCAAAAATAAAAGTACAGCAAAAATTTTCAAGCAACACTTCAAAAAAAGCGCAAAGTTAAAGGAAGGAACACAACTTTTACCAAAAACTACTTTATAACCTAGGAAATAAAATTTATAAGCCTTGTTTTGAATTATTAAAGATTTTTTATATTTTCAATTCTTCAAATGAAGATGAAGTATGTTCTAATAAAGGCTTCTTTATGAATTTGAAGTTTTTTTTTTGAGTATAAGTTTTGCTATATATGCTTTTTGTAAAAAAAAATAGAGTTCCTTCACACCCTAACTATAAAAAAAATCCATCGTTCATACAAAATATAAATAGTAAAATGTAGGTGGGTAATATATCTCCCAAAACAAACAACATTATCTATGATTTGTTGTAACAGATGATAACCTCTCCGTGCAAATTGATCTCCTAATCATTACCAATTTCACTCTAATGATAAACAATGTTTAATTCTCAATGAAATTGTATGAATCTCACCAAAGACAACATTTTGAAATTCAAATCATGACCTCCCCTTGAGATTCTTCAATGATATATGCTACCACCTCGTCCAAAGCATAAAACTTCAAGGCTATAGACAGAGGTTAAAGCATTCAAAAGATTTGAAATATCCCTTTTCAGATTTTCTCTCTCCATTAATACACAATGTGTGAAAAACTTACAAAAAAATTCAATATAAATGAAAAATATATGAAAATGAAGTTATCTAGGTGTACATAATAGAATATAAGAGATGAAATTTGAACAAAAGCATATTAATACGACATAATATACAACTGGACTCAAAAAGCTGACAAAATCTAGGAAAACATCCAACGTGATTGTTTCTCTAAACACCCTTGAATTTCAACTAATAAATCTGTAATTAGTGTTCTGAAAATTTTCTTGGTGGATAATTTTATAGGCTCTTGTTTGTGTTCAATTCTCAGGTTTATATCACTTAGGATTTGTGAACAATCTTCACCACAAGTTGTGTAGGAAGTTATGTTATTTTGAATATGCTTTATGAGCTTGCTCATGTGAAAAATAGATCTAATATCACTAAAACCGTAATATCCCAATTGAAATCTCATTTAAATGTAGCAGAGGAAAGAAATCATTTTCACCTTCTCTTGTTATAATTTGTGGTTTAGATATGAAGGACATATGGATCAAAAACAGTACAAAATTATCCTCAGACTATGTGCTGATGAGTCTTTACTACCTCAAAATATATCTCAAAAGTTGGAGATATATTTAGTTCAGTTCTATTAATATGACACTTGAATGATAATTACAAGATCTTTAATCTCTTCATGATCTTGCAGCGGTGAGTTGTTTATGGAGTAATTATATTTAATTGATGACTGACAATTAACTAAACTTCAACTCTAAGCAATTTTTCCTCTGCAAATGAGCCAAAGAATTCAAATTATTTTGAAGTCCCAAGCAATCTGGGGGAAAATGAAGAATCCCAATACAATTTAATTTGTATGTGAACAGGAACCCCTCCAAATTTCATATTGATTAATAGATGACTAATAAAATGTTAAATAATAAATAACAGACCATATTGACTACTTTGTGAAACCCCAGAGTTTATGTTTGTTGTAAATCTGTTTAAAATCTGTTTCTGTTTTCTGGTTATTTATGGTTATTTATTTCAACTCATTACAACCAATCTCTTGTTAGTTTGTACATTTGAAACTGAACATTCTTTGTGTATTATTGGAGAATGAAAAATTCTAAAAATGGTGTTACAAAAAATTCAGATAAACTTACTCCTGATTGATTTTTGACAAAGTATGACCCGCTGGAACCCTGAGATATTCGCTCAGGAAATATTCCATTATCGATAGCGAGTTCGGCCTGCCATACCAGGTCGCTAAAAGCTGGGTCATCTGCAAAAGGCAAGAAAATTAAATAATCCCCTGGTTATTTGTTTGCAACTACGACACCTGGAAACTGGTTGTAAGAGACATCAAGCCCGCCCAGAAGAGGCTGTGATTCTCCATTGAAACCCGGGGAATCCAACGCTGATTCGAAGACGACTTCAGGAACAAGTGGGATGTCTTCTCCGTCACTGCAAACTATGGACAAGGCCCCGTGTGATTCGTTTTCGGATCCTCCTGTATTTATCAAGATAGGAACAGTCTCACTGGCACTCATTACCCAGTTAATGCGGATTTTCTGTATTCCACCATTTAAATATGATGTTTAGAGGTTCTATTAATTGATAAGTGGAACTAATTTAATTGACTAGAATTTTAAAAGAGAGAAATGAACAAATTGTCATTTTATATCACAGAAAAAACTTTTTGTAATGTATAAAAACTGTGACATCATTTGATAACAAATTTTTATTAAAAACACGAAAACAGCAGGAAAATGACAAGACACAAAAAGTAATAAAGCGATGACAGGATTTCGTCTGCGAATGAATTCTTTGTTCCGCAAAATATCGTTGTTTCTCGGATATTCTCATCAGTTAGAAAGAAACGGAAAACGACTCGCAGCCAGGACAAAGAATGGTGGATCGAGTTCTACCAGTTCTATTCTGATTTTTGGATAATTACCAACCAAATTATTCATAAACTTAATATTCCATCACATAACTTTGAGTTCTGTGCTAACCCTGTTTCGCACCATTGTATTTAAATTGAATCTTCTTCACTCGTCTAGGATTCAGTTTTTTAGTACCAACTCTAAGTGATGAACCTTTGGAATGACAATTATTAATGTTTTGTGCTCAATATTCATCAACTATATTTACCATTGAGTCGGCATTGTGAAGTTTAGTGAATTTTTAGCATTTTTACAGTACCGGTGCAGAAAGTAACCTTTCGATGAGATTATCCAATAAATAGAAATACGCATATATCTCGGTTTCAAGTGTAAAAGTTGCTTTCATAACAAAAATTTGAAAATACAGAATTTTCAGACCTGCTGAAAAATATATTCCAGATTATACGTTGTGGATACAAGAATAGTTACTTCAGTTCCATTTTCTGACAGAGAGGGCGTGTCCGTTGTCAGAATTGAAGTTATCATATAGTTTGACTTGTTGGCATTAAGAGTTAATTTGTGATAAATTAACCATTTTTCGATGTGGGAGAGATCTTCCTCTATTTGATGTTTTATTTGGAGTTTGTCTGTGACAGAATAAACAATTGCGGTGTCATCTGCATACAGTTGAAGTTGGCCGCTCAAGGCGAGAAATGACATTGAGTTTATGTAAATCAAGAACAATGATGGCCCCAGGATGGACCCCTGAGGAACTCCACAAGTTATATCAGTTTTTGGCTAACTGCATCATTAAGCACCACATTTTGAGTACGTCCCACCAGATAGTCGCTGAACCATATCAGAGGAATACCATGCACACCGGCTATTTGTAGTACTTCCAACAGAAGTCTATGATCCACTGTGTCGAATGCCTTCCTTAAGTCTAGGGATAGAAACACACAATTTAAACCTTTGTCCAATTTATCTATCATGTTTGTAATTAAGTCAGTTGTTGCAGTTTGGGTACTGCTATTTCTTCTAAAACCATATTGACCATGATACCAGAAATTTGTGTGATTAAGGAAGGTGACAAGTCTGTTGTTCATGCACGTTTCTAATATTTTTGAAATAACTGATAGCAGGGATATAGGTCTATAGTTGTTACTAGCTGAGGGATCATCTCCTTTGTAGATAGGGATGACTCTTGCTCTTTTTAGTGCTTGAGGTACAGAGCCAGTTGTGAAAGTAAGATTCACTAGAAGGCTTACAATATTGGTGATTTCATCTGCGAAGTCCCTGAGTATTTCTACAGATATACGGTCAACTCCTACAGCTTTACTAGATTTCATTACCAGATGAATATCAAGTCATATTTCAGTCACTCTTAAGTGGTTTGTGATTTCAGTCACTAACTATCTGTAGGTACTGAACAAACTCATCGATATTAGTTAAAGCTTTTAAACTCAACCTCTTTTTATTGTACTTTTCAATCTTCTCAGAGTGAAACTCCATTTTTCAGAAAAGGCTTCGTAAATTTTTACTCAAATGAATTAATTCTGTATAGTCACTCTCTCGTGATTTATCCTTGGTAATCTGATCTGATCATAGTAACATTTATCTAATAAATGATTCTTCATGATTTTTTGAACACAGAAACTATTCAAGGTCTTCAAATGATCAGGAAGGTGGTTATATATGTTTGGACCAATGTATTTTGAATCTGTCTAAGGGCAAATGAAAATGGTTCTTGGTTCTAGTATCATGTTAATGAAGTTTTAGATTTGTTGTAAAAGTTGATTTATTTGTGAACACAGATACACATTTCAAAAATATAAACTGATGTTAAAAGTTGGGACACTGTGCTCCTTAAAAAGTACCTTGCATGATTCTCTGAACAATTTGCTATAAAAAATGTTCTACTGTGGAAGATCCACCCCAGAAACAGACACCATACCTGAATGTAGATTTTACTTGAGCATAATAATATATTAAGCAACTTATTCTTTCTTGAGACTGTTCATAATTCAGGGTTTTTATCGATTAAACTGATTTTAAAAGTTGGGACACTGTGCTCCTTAAAAAGTACCTTGCATTATTCTCTGTTTGAACAATTTGCTATAAAAAGTGTTCTACTGTGGAAGATCCACCCCAGAAACAGACACCATACCTGAATGTAGATTTTACTTGAGCATAATAATATATTAAGCAACTTATTCTGTGTTGAGACTGTTCGTCATTCAGGGTTTTTATCGATCTTTATTGGCTTTTGCACCTTCCACAATCTGAAAAAAATATGAAAAGTGTAATGGGAAACGTTATACTACCTTCACTGAAAAATTTTGAATTGAGGAGCTGAAAAAATGAAAAGATTAGAGTGTATATACCTATAATTCTTACTTAAATATCACAATAAAAAGAGAGGAAATACATACAGTAAATATATATCTTTGAACCTTTGAATATATATCTTTGACATAAAAACTAAGGGTATGTAAATTCACAGAGTTTTTTCAACATTCTTGATAACGTTGCTGAAGTCCACTTTGGACGGGGTGAGGTAAAATGCTGGGGCCACCTGGACTCCGCAAGGGCACTGGCAGCCCATGATCCAACTGAATGATCCGAGCTTGCTAGAACATTTCGGGCAAAGCACTTTTCCTTGCAACCCCTCCGTAATGTTCATCCAAGCCATGGGTTCGATGAAATACGTTTGAGTGCAATTCTCCCCTTTATTCTTGTGAAGAATCAGTTTTGATTCACCAGCCAAAACCCTTCTGCACTTGCGACAGCGGTAAACGTTGGGCTCGGGCTGGATTTGCTCTTTTCCAGGATCAGGCTGAATGAGGTCATGGAATTCGGGAGTCAGCACCTTGACTTTCCTTACTCTATCCGCTGCGATGGTCAGTCGATATATTCTGAAAAGTTTACTGGTTCTATCGACCTTGTATCCCATTTCCTGGTAAAGCTTCAGCTGTGACACAAATCCTTGATTAGGGTAAACAATTCTACGTTTGTTTTTAACTTTCTCGAAGGCTTTTTGATAGCTCAGCTGATACTTCTTCATAATATAGGCTATTACGAGGCTGGCACTTCGTGACACTCCAAAATAGCAGTGCACTAGTACAGCCCCCTTCGAAATCCCTTCTCTTATGAACAAATCTGCTTCTTCGAGGTGTGACAAGAGATCTTCTTTAGGCTGGTCTGACAACTGAATAAATTTTGTGACAATATGCTTGAGTTCCAGTATTGTGCGTGGTAGAGGGCAGGTGTCTATAGTTAGTATATGGGTTATTTTATTTTTATTCAAGATTTCGGTATTCTTGGCGGCCGCCAGTCCTCCGAGAAAGAGATTTTCTTCAATAATATCGATGCTAGGCGGTCCTAGGCTGAAATCCGTTTTGTACATGATATTCCTGAAATGAATGAGATTTATTTTTTCATTTTGAATTGGTGTTATTGCTCACATTGTGCCAGCTAATATGTTAAACGTTCAGTGGAGTTTTTAATTTTACTTTCACTTTCTTCCTTTGATTTTGAAATGTTGCTTCTTTTCAATGTTATCAATGTACAATGGATTGTGATAAGGTATCAATAATGAAATGATTATGTGATTACTTATCAAATTTTTCTTAATGAGATAAATATACCCGGTTATTTTATGCATTTGATTAAGAGGCACAGAAAAGACATTTTTATCTACTACGTCTAAATTTGAGATATGAATAAACTCATTTAACTTATATCAAATTAAATATACCTGTTGCGATCGACAGCTGATTCTGGCAACTAAACTGGCAACACAACTTTTCGTTATTTATTTACGTTTATTTATAAACAAACTGTCATTCTTGTAGGTCAAATGAACTTGATTTCTGTTTTTAATTAGGAGGTTAACCTCTAAACTTTGAACAGAAACCTGTATAGAGTTTTGATGAAATATTTTGATGAACATGGGTGGCGCCATCACTATTTAATTTTAATATGCACAGTGGGGAATGTTCCTCAATTTGGGTTATTACAGAAAATGCAAGTTCGAACAAAATAAAGTAGAGTTTAATTCATGAGTTTTTCAAATTCACTTCGAAAAGTATTCAAATTGATGTTTCAAATGTTGGGTTTTAGTTTTTAAAGGGATTTGTTTCTAATTCACATATTGGCAACAGCGCCTATATCAAGTTGAAATAATTTATACGTACCTAGATATTCTACTTTAAAAAAGGAAAATATAGGTTAGGTGCACAAAATGTCATATGTCACAGAATGTCTCGGAACTCGGAACATAAGTAAACAGAACAGCAAACCTCTGAAATATATCATCTTTGTTTGTCTCAAACAGGTAACAGATTCATTGCCTTTATTAGCTATAGGCGATGTTGCCAAATGGTGAAATAGAAACGAATCCTCTTAAATGTTGAATGCATTATTTCATTCCTCTTTATCTTAGTATTTAAATAATTTTTTAAAGAAAAAGGTTGAAATGATAAGTTTAAAGTGCATTGTTTTAGAGCTCTTTTATGAAAACTACTTGATTTTCGTCAGGAGGAACATTCCCCATTTCCAAGAGTATATTTGCAATGCTTGTACCTTAAATATAATGCTAAAAGCATTATAATGCTAAAAGCATTATACTTGTGCTTGTACCATAACCAGTTAACTCATTACTATTCAAGTTCAGTGGATTGGAAAGATAAAAATTTGGTTATGAAATGAAAGAATTGCTACAGAATTCCAGTGCAGTCTCCTTGGTAATCTGTGAACGAGAGAACGATTCCGGTATATATACGAGGACATTGAGTTACAGATATTAGTTTTAGATTAGTGTGTAGCTTCAAAATTTATTTCATTTTTATTTCTACCAAATTGCTGTGGTTGTGGGGTATAATTTTAGTGGTAACATAAACAATACAACCTTATTTTCATAGGGAATATATTGGATATAACTGAAATGTTTTCCAGTATTTTGTTTACAAAACGTTGTACCTTTTTTATAGCTATTCGGTTTCGTCAAGTTCATTCAAGACTTTATCGAGTCCTTGTGCTATTTCCCCATTAATATTCCATTCTACCTTCAATAGCTAGTTACAGTCTATCTTCCTCGGTAGAAATGGATTCCTTCCGAGTAAGCTGCGGTGTTAACAATACGCAAACAGAAATAAAAAAATGTGAAAATTGTTCAATCATTATCATTGATAGTGTTATTGATTTTTATCAAGTAACGGGTCAGTCCATTTACCACTTATCAATAAGAACCTATGTAGACGTAATCAATAGCAAAATATCTGATGACACTAATAAAAATATTTGAAGAGTGGTATAAGTATAATTTCAACCTAAAAAAAAATAAAAATATTTCTTTTTACGCTTCTGCTTAGATAGAACAACCGTTTTAGATACGTTCGTAGATATATAATTCAAGGACAAAAATTAGAGTAAAAAGAATTTGGTTCATTTTTAGATCAGAGTACCCTTGACATTCGACATTCAGTGTCTCTGCCAATGCTCGTGGAAATGGAAGATAAAAAACTATTGTATTCTTTTATACGTAATCGATCACAAAAATACCTCAGTCGAGAGTTCATGCGTATGTGTAGGATTTACTTTACATCAAATTTGAAGTGAGTCACCATCAAAAACCAAAGATAGTGGGAAAACTATTTGAACAGAGAGTATTTACGATCTCTTATTTGTGAAAATAAAATTGTTCGGTTAGATTTGTAATTTTCATTCGAGTATAAAAATAACAAATACAAATAATTCAATAGCTCAAATACCAAAATATTTTTACTGTACTCCACGAACATTTTTCAGAATATACTGGCTCTTCAGTTGTGAAATGGAGCCAAAATGGTAGTCGTGTTAGCCAAGCAGTCTCTGTATATACTAGGCTAGGAGTGAAATTTGAGTAAAAATATGGGGATTTCAAAAACGGTAAAAGTTAGAGAACAAGTTAAATAAAGGCAAAGGTAATTATTGGATGAATGGAGCACATTCATCCAACTTTTCGTAATAGCATAGTTTATAGAACATATTATATGTGGTGCAAGGAACTCGGCACAACTGACTCGCAGTTCCCCCTTTGTCGCCTGGCCTGCTTCTGCAAGAAGGCTGACTGTAACCAGAGCTTGTATATAGTTAGTTATTTGTTGGCAGTCACCTACAAACTATATTTATTCGATATATGTGTTTTTCATCGTGAAGAAGAAGAATATATTTATTGAAATAGGTAATCCTAATCCTAATGTTATATAAAACAAGGCACCTGAAACTTCCTATATATGGAAAGATTTGTGTTCTGTGGTTTTGGTATTCTATGTCTGAGATGTCGTGGCTTTTTACGTTTGCTATATTGATGTTTGACAGGGTTACGTTTTTGTGTGAAATATAAATTTTATATTGGCTTGTTGAGAAGTCGTTCATTGCCGATTATTTGGAAGATATGTTAAAGTTCATTTAGGTATAAAAAAACTTTTAAAATGCCATTATTGAAAAATGATCTGTGGGTACTATTCCTAGTTTTTTTAATTCATGGCTTTCAACAAATACAAGGTAAGGGTCTTTCTATTAGGTTTATCAATTCAGCAGAACTGTGTCCAATCGTGATTGGTCGGATCTCGTGGCAAAATTCAAACGCCCCTTGTAAATTTAATAATGTGATATTAATGAGAATATAAAGAAAACACTGTTTTTTATACTTCGACAAACTATCAAAATCATTGATATTTATCTGATTCAAAAAGCAAAATGTAATAAGAAGTGTTAAAATCTCAACAGTATCCAACCTCCAAAAGCTATTCACAGATCTAAGTAGAGCCCTAGTTGCAGTACATGAAAACACTTTTTTCCAACCAGAACAAAATATTGTCTTTCGACTTGCATTTCCTCATCAAAGTTAGCAACATCTTTTAATGTCTATCTATAAAGCCAGTTGGAGAAATTATGTGCTAATCTTAATCAGGAAACAACTTTGTGATTATAGCTAATTTCTCCAATTTGGGATTTGGTAACGTGCTATAATTTCACAATTTTTCAATGTAGCTTTTTTTCTTAGAATTATTGTTTTTTTCTTAAAAATGTAGTAAAACTCTGGTTAATCGAACTCCCGTCAACTGAAACCCAGATCAACCCCAAGTTAATACATGGTATTGCCACTAATTCATTGTAAAATTGTTTCAAATTATAAAATATTCTTAAGTATAACCTACAGAAATTATTTGTATCATTTTCCCTACACATACATTTTAGTAGCCATACCCCTTTTATTTCAGTTAACTAAGGTTTTAGTATTGATCGTCGATCGTACTAGTCAAAATTACTGGAATATAACTTGTAAAGTATACCATTTTTTCTTTCAAATAAATAATTTTGATCAGAATCACCAGTATATTTTCAGAAATTACATTGGATTATCGCTTCTAAACTGTCCTCACTATCGTTAGAGATGTTAGTTTATTAGAATTCCATATATTCGATATTGTTTTCTATTGTAATGTACTAAGAGTATTTAAATCATTTTGTTTATTATGTAATACTTAACATTAATAATAAGGACCATTTTCAAGAATACTTTCTTAGTTGTATTGCTTTCTCTTTTCAAAATTTGTGGATTTTCAGAGTGCATTCCATAGGACAATCCATTAAGAAAATTTTATGTCAAAGTTCAATTTTTGCTTTTTCACTAAAGGAGTTTTGAGTTTATTGTGTAGATTAGATATAGTTGGTAATTATAAAGGCATTATTATGGAATACGTTGATTATTTTGGGTAATAATTCTTGAATGTGAGGTAGAGAATTATATGATATCGATGGAGATATTCATCGAATTTTTTCTGTAAACTAGGATGTGTGATTTTAACAATTCTGTTTTTGAGACATTTTATCAGAATGTTATAATATTCCAGCTTCCACACAAAAATACGTAACATGTGGCTCGGTAATAAAACTTCTCAACACCGATTATAGAGTAAGGTTGCACTCCCATGACGTGAAATATGGAACAGGCAGCGGGCAACAATCAGTTACAGGAACTGAAATACAGGAGGATATCAATAGCCACTGGATGGTCAAAGCAGGCACCGGCAAGCATTGCGTGAGAGGTCGACCGATCAAATGCGGATCCGTAATCCGATTAGAGCATGTGGAAACTAAGAAAAATCTTCACTCTCACAATTTCCAGAGCCCTCTGAGCGGCAATCAAGAAATAAGTTGTTACGGTAATGGTGGGGAAGGTGACTCTGGGGATAATTGGACCATTGTGTGTTCTGGTAAGTACATTCTTAGTGAAGATTTTCAATATTAGTTTTTCTTCGAGGAATAGACTATTTTTTTGGCTTGTGCTAGATTTAAAAAAATTGTGAACTTGGTATTTTTGTCCATTGATCACTCAGCTGAAGTCAGAACGTGGCACTTTGGTCTACTTTTGGAGATTCTGCCACTCAAAATTCGAAGCTGTAGAAAAATTTACTATTTCAGGTAATAAAATGACACCTGTTTTCCCCCAATTCAAATGTTTTCACAGATTTAAGATTTTGTTTCATCATGAATGATTTTCCGAACATTTTTACTTCACTAAAAATATTATTTGTTGGAAATATGACAGAAAGTCAAAGACAAGAAATGAAGTATTCGTTACCCAAATTTTTAAAACCCGCCTTTCTTATTCATCAACGTTTTAACAGAACTGCTGAAGGGTGAGACTATACATTATCTTTTTTTTTGCCAATGTGGCTGTTTCTCCGCAATTTCTACCTTTAGCTTGTTAATTGATAATATCTAGTATGTTCCTGTAAAAGTTTTTTCTGTTTGAAGATAATTAAGGTAATTTCATGACTATCTTAAACAGTTGCCGTCACATTACCAGCTACAAAAATAGTGTTTGCTTTTTTGGGAGTCAATTCCCCTTGATTCAATATGTGATACACTAGTTCTTTGGATATATTTATAACCTCTAATATTTCTCTCACTTCAATTCGTTAGTAGTTTAGTATCATTTGGTGAAATATAACGAAGAACGATGTTATCTTCAGTGTTGCAAGTTTTGGACATCCTGAACTTTCATTGTTGTTATGGCCAATTTTAAATTCAGCTGCCCAAAAAAATTACATAGTCCCATTATGGTACATATTATCCATACATAGCATCCAATTAATCATTGATTTGTGTAGGTGTCTTAACTTTCAAAAAGAAATATTTCATGACTACTCAATACAAGATTTTCTCAATTATTGCTAAAAAAACACATTGATTCATTCAAGCGATTATCAAACATCAACCTGTCAAAAGTGGCCAACCATATTCTTCATTTTTATCGATGAGTGCTGCCATCTTTACATCAAAGGTGGAAACTTCTCAGACGATCCTTGTAAAATGGCTATAGGAAAGAATTTCTACCGATGATCATTCAGCTCAAACAGCTAACACCTGATCAGCTGAATGTTGAATATATGTTATGTTTACTGCTTTGGGTTTTTGTGTTTTGAGTTCTTTAATTTTGAATTTGTGATAGTAATTAATGTTTTTAATGGATTTATTATAGACATGTGAAACTGATGAATAGGTTAAATGAATTCCAATATATGAAAACAGCTGAGAGGGCTTTTTTTTGTTTTACCATCTGGCTTAGTTTCAATAGGTCCGGTAGGTGTCCTAACTGAATGATGAACTTTCCAATAAGAGGAAAAACATTTTTCATGTTAGAAGGAATATTTTAGATGCTGACACTTTTCATAAAAGGTTTTGTTGATTTCTAGACAGTTTTATAGGTTGGAAGTCTGGTCTGAAACAAAACTTAAAATGTGCGGCTAGATTTGAAAATATAGCAGTGCAATTTATTTAGAAACATGTTTTAATTTTGAAACAAGTATTTCAATTTGGGTTATAGCCATATCCCATTTTAAGAAAATCGTTTTACGTCATTGTTTTTATAATTTGATTTATATCATATTCATTATGGAAATAAAGCATATTCTTATCCTAATTAACATTATTTTCTTTCAGGAGATAATTGGCACAGAGACGATAGCGTTATGTTCAAACATGTGGACACTCAAATGTACTTGTCAATATCAGGGAAAACGTTCGGCAGACCAATAACAGGCCAAATGGAAGTAATCGGAGTTTACTCCTCTTCCGGTTCAGTACATTGGCAGACAGCGGAAGGGGTGTTTATACATGCTGCCGATAGTTCATCTCAACACACACATTCTGCCCACGAAGAATTATAGAGCATAATTAGATTAGAAAGAACTGTTTGTACATTTTTTATTTTATTTATTTAAATACTTGTATCATATTGCGTGATTATGATAAAACAGGTTGATTTGTGTTTGAATTTGATTTGATTATTTTGTGGAGAAATTAAATAACTTTTTGAGATTTCTAAATATAAATTCAACAAAAAATTGGGACAGGACAACTGTTGGGCTTTCAACATATGTTTTGGTTTGAAAGCATACCTGAATTTCAATACTAGTTTCATCTAGAAATCGGTACTAAAAGATGTTGTAAAGAAACATGTAAATACGATTAACTTGAAAATTTTTGACTTTCTAAGAAAAACTACAGAAACTCAATTTGGTTTAGAGGATTTTTTTGTTGTCAGGTAGATAAATTGATACTTAGTCAATAAATGATATTAGATCGAAATGTAGAATGAATCCAACAGAAACACATACCAGAATATCTAGATTAAATTGAAGCTTGACAGCTCTTAATCTAACATACATCAGTTGTTTCGACCCACCAAAGTCTCATCAGTACTGCTGGGCTGAACCCCTTAACTGTCCTCAAAAGGCAAGCTTGAAAGTGAAGGCGTCGATAGTTGCCCTCTAAAAAACGGGGATCGACAGAGAACTCAAATCTTTAAATATCAAATATAAACAAGACGGTGCTTTGACACAAACCGCCGACGAGATTCGTCCTCTGCTTTTTGCTGTTTCGCCTTGCTAAGAACTCCTCAGTGGCGCTAGAGGCTTAATCTCTCTACTGTCAAAGAACAAGTCTGAAAGTGAAGGCAATGGCATCTCCCCTTACGAAGACGCCATCTATGGGATCGACAGAGAACTCAATTTTGGATAGTCAACAAATGGCTAATTTTCCACTCCAAATTGAAATTATTGACTAGTGAACAGTGCAAGTATATTAAATGGTTTTAGCTCGCATTTGATCTACCTGATATATTGTATATTTGCAGTTTGAAAAGGCAAAGATGTGTTCTGCGTCATCTAGTATGCAATGCCTGAACTATGAATATACTGATTTAAGAGACGTTTTCATCCTACAGATATCTAGACTATAGATCATTATTACATAGTATTAGTTTTGCTATTAGTCGGTAGATGTCTATCGTTCAACATCAAATCAAAACAATTAATGAACAATACAAAGATATTGTTTTTGGAAATTATTTCTGGTTTGTAATTTGTTTTATATGTTATATGACATATTTGCAAATTCGAAGGTTAAAGAAAAAGTTGACAACTTTAGACCTTGCATGCCATCTAGTATGCAATGCTTAAACTGATTAATATTTTTTCCCTGAAGACATTGTCTACAGTGCTGAAGATCATTTTTCCATCGTATTATGAATACTTGAAATTAACTATAAACTATGATTTTTTACGAATAATTAACAATTAAAAATCTTAAAACATCAACAGGTGTTAGACATCAAAGACCGACTGAGCTCAAACATTTCATAGAATTATAAACGCTACTCAACAATGATATCTGCAGTCCCAACTTCTATCCAAAATAACATCAATTAAACTCCGAAAAATATATTTCAATCGGATGTATTGCTATGCTCAAGTTTAAAAAAATTACATTATTCTGTTTTCTCTAAGAATCATCTTGTCTAATTTTCATAGAAATCTTTTGTTGATGAAAGTATTCATTCTCATGTAAAGATTGCTCGAAACAAAACACTTATTTTCAACTCGTCAAGGCCTTTGAAGATGACCTTATCGTATGTAATAAGTCAATAATAGCTGAGCAATGTGTTGGAAATATGGTATGAGTTGCCGACTTCCGAAAAGACAATTTCTCTGAAGTGGCAGTATATATATAAAAGGAGATATGAATTGGCTCACCATTCATGCATAAAAATATTTTGTCACAACATTTCAATTGAATAGAATCCAACTGATGAACAATGGTCAAATAAATAACTAATAAAATGAAAGTAAATAAAATAAAAACGAATCATTGCGGAACATCTGCTAAGCAGATTTAAGAAAATACATTTGCAACAAAATCGCCGAATTTCACGAAAGTGAATGAGAAAAATAAATAAATAGACATTTACATTTTTTTACAAAAAAAAGGTAGAATCAATATTATTCGTTAGTTTTATAAGAAAATATTTCATTCATCAGGAAGTTACACTCAACTTTTTTTCTATTTTGAAGGAAAATGAAAGTTTCAACAATGACTGTGACGTTAAACAATGACTGAGACTTACCTTCCTTTCAAACCACGTTTAAAAATGTATATGTTTGTAAAGCAGAAAAAGTACAGGATTGGGTATACGACATACCTATTTAAATAGTACTACTTAATCAAATATCTCAAAATTCCAAATACAAAGTCTTTGTTTTGTGTTATGAAATGCTTTCCAATTTCAGAACTAACCATCACATTAGCCTTGAAAACAAGTTGGAAATGTCGTACACACAGTCAGAACAACCAGAATACAGGAAGAAAAAAATTAAATTATGCAATTTGAATGAGTTTTACGGTGTTGCCAAGTTCATATCAAATGTTAGTAACGTCACAACCATCAGTTTTATTCCATTTAGAAAAAAACTAACCAAAAATTTGAAAAAAACATAAAGAGGTACTTTTTACCTATGCGATTATCCCAATGTAACTGTTTAGATCTATTGGAGATAGCTTTTCAAACACTAACCTCATTTGCTAACAAGAGGATTTCAATAATGAAAGAGATAGATCTCTAGACATAGTCGATTGAAGCAAAAAATTTTTGTTTTATTGATATCATTTGAAAAAAAAAACTTGGAAAAACCAAAAACTTCATCGATGGTCAAAATTATGAAAGTGAAGTTCGAATTTCTACATTCACTGTTTTTAATGGATTTTGCCACCAGCCACATTTTTTAACTTTCAAATTTAAAAAATGAGTTTCAATACTTTTGTAACAATTAAATTCATCAAAACTAAAATTCAGTCTTAATTGAAAACAAAAATTGGAAATTAAAATCTACAAGCTAACGAGTTAACGGGTTGTCTACCATAATATCAAGAGATCTATTCTAACGAATTATATTTATATTGCTTCATACAATATTCACTAGAAGATGCAAGATTTCGAGACAATCTAAAATATAAGTCAAAAAATTTGTAATCTCCCATTATGTGACTGAAGGATTAGTTACCAGTTAACCGTTACAAATAGACATCATATATTTGGCAACACTTGATATTTGTAACGGAAACATACAGATATGAATTTTGTAAATTAAATGAGTAGGAAAATTGTCAAATGTCATTTTTTTTAAATTTAAAGTAGGAAGTGACACTGCCTGATTACAAACTATATAATGATTATTTCTAAGCCAGTCTAAAAGTTATTGGCTCTTTGAAAAATTGACATTTCTATTCTTAGTCCATTTAAATTATATTCTATCCCAATAACTTTGTATTGGTCAAACGAGGATGAACTTTTCCCAAAAAATTATACGTTGGGAAAAGGTTATCCCCGTTTGAATGTCAGAACCAAATCCATATTTATAAACCATTTTTTGATAGAGGGACATGAGTTTACTTCATGACTATGATTTGGAAGATAACTAGGATAATTTTTACATTCTGGCAAAACATTTTCCTCTTTTTGAAGTACACGTATTTGACATATGACATTTAATCATGTAAAAAACAACTCGCCACAGGATAGCGCTAATGACAAAGCAAACCTAACAAATGAAATACATGATAGCTATAACGAAGATTTGATTTTTACATTCATGTAAATATCCACTGTAATAAATGAATTGAAGAACTGATATTTGAATGTTTGTGAATGTGGTTGCTTATGAAAATAACCAATATTTCCCATGAGTTTTTTACATGTTAGGAATCACACGCTATAAGGTAAGACCTCGTTAGTCCTTAGCTCGCACAAGTTTCTCAACTTCTGAGAGTTGTCATTCGTATGCGGACGACAGCTGATGAACGGAAAAACAGATTTTAAACAGACAGATTTGAATAATAAAAAATCTTTGTAGTCATCCCAAATATAAACGCACAGATAACTGAATAAATATCAATTGAATATGTAATAATTTGAATAATTCACACTATAACAACCCAAAGCGTATTTACAAAAAAATACAATAGTAACCAATCCTTCAGTATCTGGAAGAGATTCATTTTGAGCAACCATTGAAATCTCGCACTATCCTTCAATCCGATTATTACATTTAAATATTGCAATTCTTAAATACCGACCAATTATGTTCAAACTTAAAGCTAGCGATCAAATATTTTTCGTCTTCGTAAAAAAACTTTTTCCAAACAATCAACACCCTTGGGATGAAAATAAAAATATAGCTAATAATACCACTATCCAAAAAATATATCGAAATCAATTATTAATAAATCACAGTTTCGTAAAGATAAATTAAAGGGAAAGACAGACAACAGTTGGAGGGAAATTACTGTAAAAGCTAAGTATCCGACTGGTTTTCCAGCATTTCAGTAATGAATGTGTCAATGGTTACATCTCCAATTAGTCTGAAGAAAAACAGGTGCTCCAGACACTTCAAACCGATCGATCGTAATGCCGGAAGACGAAGCAGAAGTTTGGCAAATCTGCCTGGCTCGTTCGGATGAGTGGTTCTCGTGTATTCCTCCAGGTTTTCATATATCTTCTCCCTCAATATTTCTACTTCCTGAGTGGATTGCAAGCCCCTCACATCTGAAACGAAAAATTCCAGGATTGTCTGCTTGTCAATGTCCGTAGAAATGCTTCATTATTCAATGGGTGATTAGTATTGTTTTTACAAAAAGAACAAGGATGTATTGATATCTAGAAAGATTAGACCGGTTCCGTTCCCGAAGCATCATCAAGTACCTGTGTAGAGGACATTGATGAGTTTCATTGAAAATGGCTCAAAAATGAAGAACTGAATTTACTGTTATCATAGTAAATGAACATTTTCAGTCTACCGTTACTACTAAAACTCTCTTGTCACATTTAAAATGTTTTTATGGTATTTTCAGATAACATTGTATTTCAATTGTTAATTTTTGGGTTATTGTTTTCAGGAATTTTTTCTTACACAAAATTTTATTCAACCAATGTTATTAATTTTGATTGAAACTGTTTAAAACTGTGATGATATGAAACAGTTTTCAGTGCTACGTTGAAATCGATATTGCAAAATTCACAATATTGTGACCCCTGAATATGCCATTGTATAGCTATGCTTATAATAGAGAACAGTACATTTTTGAAAATTTTTAGATTGTGGAAGGTAAAAAACATCAAAAGGTCGTTTATGAAAAACTGATTTCTTCTACATAAAACGACTTTCTTCGATGTTTATGAACGTTTCTAAGAAATTCTATTCGTTATCTGATATCTAAGTCAAGTTCAACAGAAAATGACATTGAAAGTGTTTTTAAAATTTTCAGCTTGATAAAAGTCGCCAAATTAAAGTGTTTTATGGTAAATATTACTGCAGTTTTATCCCAACACCACAGTTATTTTAACACCTCGACACGTGTTTCGATCAACAAGTGATCATCTTCAAGAGGAAGATTAAACTTTATGGTTTTTGAACCAACATTAATTTTAGACACCATCAAGTCACAAATAACTATCATAGTTCTTTTACCAATGACCTGATCAAGCAAAACTGTTAGCAATTGTCATGAAAATCAAAGTTGAAATATTGGATTATTGTTTTGGAAACTTTTCTACAAAATTTGAATATTCTTCGTGACTGAAACGATAATTTGAAACAACAGTGTTATGTAAAAACTTTAAGCTACAAATAAGAAAATTCAATCTATCAACTGATATTTTTATATCTATTTAAGTTAATAATGAGAAGGAATAAAAATGAAAAATGCTTTGAATGTAAAAAAAAACACTGTTGCCACTATTATCAAAGTTAAATAAAAATGGATTCCACTGTTGTTATTACTCTTTGATTGTTGTTATTACTCTTTGATTTATTTCAATTTGTAAAATTTAGAACGTTTTTACAGTAAAAGTTCCCTTAACAGTGACTCCCAAAAACTGTTAGAAAGGCTTTGTTATGGATATTCTTTTGCTTCTTCAAACAAAATTTTATTCTATCATTATTAATTGTGATCAACATTATTTGAGAAATAGATGTAGCTTAAAAAACTAAAATATATGCTTTTAAAAAACATTGAACTAAAAAGTTGAAAATATTTTTTAAATACGATTGAAACAATAACGAACGAAAAATACTAGTATAAAAAAAATATTTTCAACTTTATGCTATAAAAGTGTGTTTTTTAGTCTTTTTAAACTATATTTATTTTATCTAAACTTTGGGATCAATCAGCCTTATATTGTTTAGAAAAATGCCCATTGATATTTGCCAATTCCGAAGAGGGAGCCTGAAAATCAGCTACCAAGCCCAAGGCAGTAGGCGCGCAAAGGAGGGTTACAAATAAGGCAGCAGGCGCGCGTGTTAATAACAAAAAATACCTTTTTCAAATGAAGAAATATATTTTGGTGAATTCGAATTATATCAAGGAGGTTACGAACAGCGCACGAATAGATCAAGCGATCATGTCGATATATCAAGGAAGTTACGTACAGCGCCATCTGCCCGCGACTAGATCAAGCAATAATGTCGATAATTCTGTCAAATACAGATCCCGATATGAAATGAAAAGGAGAGTTACAAACATACATACATACAGGTGAATCTAATATAAAGCGTATAACAAAGAAATACCAGGATATTTGGGATATTTCCAAAAACTTTGATTTGATAATTTAACAATATTGTCATAATCTATTAAAACTGTCAGTGACGAGGGTTTATAGTTTAATAAAAAATTTAAACCAATACCGATGAATTTTAAAGGTTTTTAACCATCAAATGTGTATGCTAATAACAACACTAATCACTGGCAATTTCAAAAAATTCGGTTAATCATTTTTAATATTTCTGCTGCAGCCATCAAGTATGATCACTGGAAAGTTTTGAATATTATTGAATATTTCTAACACCATGTGAAACTTTTATATTCATCATTTAGTTTCTCAACGTTTCACCGAAACGAGTGGTTACCATCTTTAGGAGTACATACATTCCCTTACCTGGGTTATAAAGAATAATTGCCCTCAAGCACCCTAGCTCAGTTTTATCCATTCTCATTTCCTTCATCTTATTTACAAGTTCAGAAAGCACCCTGTCGTATATATTCCCTACTCCTACGGCTTGAGCGGTGGACCTAAAAGTAACAGTTGCACTTTACCGTTTTCCATAATTTTCCTTATGAAAGTACACAGTAAGAATATAAGCCAAACATGGCAAGTTACAGAAACAAGTTTGAGAGAACACTCACTTATTGATTGTTAGTCCGGTGGCGAGAATAATGCCTTCTTGAGTCTGCATCGATCTGTGAGAAAAAGAAGCGATGAGCAATTCGTTCCAGCCCGCCCGAAGGAGTAAAACTTGATCCGAAACGGGCAGAGAAGTAAAATGCGGTATCAGTTTTGCCCATTCCACCAGCTGCAGCAGCTGTTTGTTGGTGGCCTGGCAAATGTTCGTGACAGCATTCTAGAAATTCAAAACAAATCAGTCATTTATGACAGCAGTTACACTTGGAAGTGCTGATGAATATAATGAAATTGACTTTCAAGTGAATTTCAGAAATGAAAGGAATTCTTCGTTGAAAGTTTAGATTGTTCGGAGCAGTGCCACTTCATTATTTTATCTACTTAGTTCGGATTCGATCCATGGACCGTTCTGTAGTTGTGGTTGTAGTACTTACCTCCAAAGCTACGGGTGGATCGTTACATTCCACTCTCTTCTCGGCTTCCAGAAGCCTCTCTATGGACATTTCATTAGGGTTACTAGACGTCGATTCAACTTCGGAGGCATCTCTGTCTTTCGTCCTTTGCCGTTCTTCTTGAACCGCCTCCCGCTTCATTCCCATCACAAGACATTTTTGGTAACGACAGTACTGGCATCTGAGAAATTAATCAATCAATAAGAGTTTTCATTATGTTATAATAATAATAATAATAATATTTATTCATCCTCAAAGACGTTGACAAACGTATAGGATAGGTCAGTATTAAGCACATAAAAATCACATCAAACGATAAAATNCATCACATCATCTGCCAATTTTTAATGACTTATCACTTAGATATTTACTTTCAACTGTTGAAACTTTCGAAATATATTGTTAATTTTTTGCTAACCAAGTTTTCAAACACTCTTAGAACTATTTTATTCATATCTACTTTCATTTTTCGCTGCCTAAATCTGCTTCTCCTTTTTTTTTTTGATGAGATCGAAACAAAATAATGTTAATCGTCTCAACATTCCATGACATCATTTCTTGTGAACTAATCATTTACTTCGCTTGAATAATTTGTTTGTTGAGTTAATATTTAATAACCTAGAACTAGTAACTAAAAAGTTTGTGTTTCCAAGATATCTTTCAGGAAAAGTTCAAGTAAAATTCGGAACACTAATAATAGTCATCTTCACACCAGACTCTACAGTTTTTCCATACAGGGTTATCGTTAATGCTCTTCTTGAGTCAGCTAAATTTTGTACCTACTTTAGTTTCATTTCACTTTTCCATAAACCCATAAGAAGTCTGATAGCGTAAGATCATATGATCGTGTCGGGTTTTGGAGATGTTGCCGGATTTTGTGATCGTGCCGGTTTTTGCGATTGTGCCGGGTTTTTGTGATCGTGCCGGGTATTTGCGATCGTGTCGATTTTTGAACATTGCCGGGTTTAGGAGATGGTGCCGGGTTTTTGTGTTCGTGCCGGGTATTTCTGATCATGCCGATTTTTGCGATCGTACCGGTTTTCGTGATCGTGTCGGTTTTTGTGACCGTGTTGGGTTTTTGAGATAGTGTCGGTTTTTTGTGATCGTGCCGGGCATTTGTTCTCGTGCCGGGTTTTAGAGATAGTGCCGGTTTTGGTGATCGTGTCGGTTTTCGTGATCGTATCGGTTTTTGTGATCGTGCCGAGTTCTGGAGATGGTGCCGGTTTTTATGATCGTGCCTGTTTTTGTGATCGTGCCGGGTATTTGTGACCGTGCCTGTTTTTGTGATCGTGCCGGAGTTTTGGAGATAGTGCCGGTTTTTGTGATCGTGAAGGTTTTTGCAATCGTGCTGGATTTTTCTTATCGTGCCGGGTTTTGGAGATAGTTCCGGTTTTTGTGATCGGGCCGAGTTGTGGTGATCTTGACGGGTTCTGATTTCACGAAATATATAATTTTACAAAGGATTAAAAACTGGTTTTCTGAAAACATTCTGATTGAAGAGCACAGTTGAAAAAAACAACAATTAGTGAGGAAAGCTAAGTGGTGTACAAACCTGTTTCTTTGTCGCTTGTCAATTAAACAATTTTTCTCCTCCCGGCAAGCATAAGACAAATCTTTCCTGACGGTCCTTTTGAAAAATCCTTTGCATCCTTCGCAACTGGAACAAAAATAGGAGTCAAAATATTGATAACTCAGGAAATATATTCTTGCATTATGAAAACTTTCGAATTTATTCTCTAATGAAAGAAACCATATCTCAAATTTTTACTTTATGAATGGTTTGAAACAATTTTAAGAATATACAAGGTACTGAGCGTTACATGGTAAAAATACTCGTGATGATGATTATTCAAATTTATTTCCTTTGAGTTTCCCTCAAGAGTTTCTGAAACTTCATTTGGTAATCATATTTGACTGAAGTTTTTCGAGAAAACGTCAAAATCACCACCCTTTATTGAAGTGACATAGATGGATTCAAGTTCAAAAATAGACGGTCATTATGAACAAATCCTATCCGGATACTTTACAGGCAGGTGGGCTCGACTCAATGTCACAAAATTAAATTAGGTTTCCAACAGGTGCTTGGCAAAATTTCCACGTCGGGAAGCCAAGTGAATAAAATGGCAACTGTGACACTGAAACTCAGAAATAGGACTTCTGGATGTACTTGTAAGGACGTTCCAAAAATACACAAACAAAACATCCCCCTTCGTCCCATCGTGAGCGCATTTGGTTCACTCACACACGCCCCGGCCAAGTATCTTGCAAATACCCTTCAATCACTAGCCGAACAATCCTCATCATATGTCCGAAACTCCTATCACTTCTGCAATCCTTCAATATCCAACAAACAGACATCCTTGTCAGCTTTGACATAGCATCCCTTTTCACAAATATCCCAGTATCGGAAACTTTGTCCCTTCTCAAAACGAGACATCAATTCCCACATAATACGATCAACCTCATCAGCCACTGCATGTCCAGCACATATTTCCGTTTCCAGGACAAATTCTACAAACAATTAAAAGGCGCCTTCTCTTTCCAGTCCTTGCAAACCTCTACATGGAGGACTTCGAAACCAGAGCCATTGACACTTCTCATCTCAAACCCACGTGTTGGCTCCGATACGTGGATGACTTCTTTGTTATATGGCCCCAGGGATCCGAAGATCTTCATGTATTCCTGAACCACATCAACTCCTTACACCCCGACCTAAAGTTCACCATGGAAGTTGAAAATAATAACTCACTCCCTTTCCTGGACGTTCTCATGACGAAGTCCAACAACTCCTTCTCACACACGGTCTACCGGAAACACCTACCCATACTAACCGCTACCTCAATGCCAAGTCCCATCATAATCCTGCCCAACGGAATTCCGTTCTGAATTTCCTCATACATCGTTCTATAAGACTCACTGACAACCACAATAGATCCAGGGAACTATACGAACTCACAGCCGCCCTTCCCGAAAACGACTATCCCGTACATACAAAGATCCATCCAACGACAGCAAACACAAACCCCACCCCACGAGTTACCCGAGGAACAGATCAACCAGACAAAAGCTTTTCTCCCCTACATCCATGGAGTCACTGCCAAAGTGAGCCGAATTCTGAAGAAACATAACGTAAAGACAGTATTCACAACCAACAACCAAATTTCCACTATGTTAAGAACATCAAGGACATGATACGCAATGAAGCACAAGGCATATACGAAATACCTTGTTCAAACTGCCCCAGAACTTACATCGGCCAGACCAATAGAAGAATTTCCAACAGAGCCTATGAACATGAACTAGCTGTTCGGAAATCAGATCCATCATCACTCTCTTCAAACACCACCAGGAAACAGGCCACACAATAAGCTTCGAAAACACCAAGACCATTACTACGAAGAAAAATTTTCAGGCCAGGATAATTCGGGAAGCAATCGAAATTGAAAAACGCCCCAACTGCCTTAACAAGCGAGATGATTCGCAGAGACTACCACAAACATGGAGGACATTGCTGTCACGCAAGATATCTGAAAATAACTCAGGTCAGGCAAACCAGATACCTGCTACAACAACATAAATATCGGCCCTGAACAACATAGTGACCAGTGCGAACTGGTGGAACACAGTAAGACAATCTATTGTCATGTCAGCAACATTATTAGCCCCAATCAGCACGGTTTCACGAAAGGACGTTCAACCACCACTAATCTTGTAACAATCACTTAATGTATTGCAGAGGGTATTGATTGTCAGTCTCAGACTGATGTCATCTACATTGATTTTTCTAAAGCGTTTGACAGACTTGACCATAGTATCCTGCTCAACAAGCTTTCGACTTTTGGGTTATCCAATGACTTAATTACCCTCTTCAAATAGTATTTTCATAACCGTAAGCAGTACGTCCAACTTAATGGCCTCAAGTCTATCGAATATGTAGCCACATCTGGTGTACCACCAGGATCAAACCTAGGACCCCTACTGTTCAATATGTTCATTAATGATATCGGAGCTGAGATTGATGCCAATTTCCTTTTATACAGAGATGACCTGAAACTCTATCACAATATAACATGTTCTAATGATTGCGAACGTTTCGCCCTGAATTTAAATCGCGTTGCTACATGGCGTCGGAAGAATAATCTATCTCTCAACATATCCAAATGTAATGTAATGTCTTACTCACTGAAAACGAATTTGACTTTGCACAACTACATCATAAACAATCAAGTTCTGGAGCGTCCTGACACACTCACTGATCTGGGAGTTACTTTTGATTCATCCCTCTCTTTCAATAAACATATTGACTCTACTCTAACAGCAGCTTACCGCATGTATGGATTCGTAGTTAGAAATACAAAAGACTTCGAAAAAGCTTCAACATTGAAATTACTTTATTTCACTTTTGTTCTATCTAGGCTGGAATATGCATCTGTCGTGTGGAGTCCCTACTGTCAGGTTCATATAAATCAACTAGAAGCTCTACAGAGGCGCTTCCTAAAATATATGTCTTTTAAACTTGAAGACAATTTTTGTAGTCTCGAGGTAAGGCGTAAATATTATTCATTCTTTTTATTAAATTTCATAAACAATATCATCACCTGCTCTCAATTGTTACATATGTTGAATTTTTGGGTTCCTAGAAGGTCATCTAGGAATAGTGTCATATTTTATCTCAACACTCCCCGTACAAATATAATGAAAAAATATCCAATTTATATAATGTGCGATACCTCTAATTCTGTTTAGATTCACAAATTATATTATGTAAGTACATATTTGTAAATGCCACTGTTACTCCCTCTTCTGTAATTGGGTTCATCCTGTAGAATAGTGTATGAAATTCATAAATAAATAATTCAATATGTGAAACAACCAAAATTATACCCAAAGGAAATCAAAATATATAGAATATTTGATCTTTTGTAAAGGGCCGTCGTATTATGGGAAATCTGCTTGACTTTCAATCACTACGAGTAATATTGCCAAAACAATCGAACGTGATATTGACCCCATCTAAAAATACCGCACTGGAACAAAAGTTAATACACGAAGCGAAAAAACAATAATACTCGTTAATGGATCTTTCATTTCGAAACTGAAAGAAATCATCGAAAAACAAATCAATTCACAATGTTATGAAGACGCCGGATTTATTGAGAAATCTTCCTACACATCTTCAACTATTTTCTGGAATTATCGTTTCTTCTGGCTCAGCAGGCACATTTAGCACTGCGTTGAAAGAAAATTGAGAAATAGGTGGCATAATTAAATAATTAACAAACCCAAATGATACACAAATAACTCACTTTTATTTATAGAATTTAACTAGCGAATTTACACAAAGCTTTATGTTAGCATAACTCGGGTTTGAATTACTGGATTTGTCGAATTATTCATGACTGATAAACAAATTACAGAGAAGTGATTCCAAGTCAAGGTTTATCGGTTTTTTGTTTTAAACTGACAACAGTTTATATCTGAAGGAAGCTTCTGTGCATTATCTATACTTTATTGCAAAGAGTTTACTTTGAAGTTGATTTCTTTCTATCTTTCTCTCTTCGGAAGAATTCCACAATTTAGTTTGAAAACGGTGAAATTTTGTTTGCTTCTCTAGTAGGTTACAAATTTTTCAATACACCATCGTTTTGATATTCGAAAAAAAAATCGAAATTGAAATAATAAAAAAAACAAAATGTTATGAAATTATCACCCCTTCTTTGGAACATAGTTCTGGATATCCTGATTAATCATCTCAACAATAATGGATTCTACACAATTGAATATGCAGATGATATAGTTAAAATGCAGACTGGCAAATTTGTGAACACACTGTGCGATAGAGCGCAGGATGGGCTCAAATTATTAGAAACATGGTGTAAGGAACACTCATTGTCGATCAATCCCAAGAAGACTTAGATGGTCCTTTTCACCAGGAAAAGAAGTTTATTGGGCTTAAAACCTCCAGAAATCTTCAAAAGCAAACTTCTCTGTACCATCGTCGACAGGAAGCTAACATGAAACTCTCATCTACAGAGTAGAGCAAAAAGAGCATATGTGGCTCATGAGGAATGTCGGAGAACAATGGGACGCGCATGGGGTCTTTCACCCCGTGTAGTCGCCTGGATCTACACTGCAATAATAAGACCTATGTTAACGTTTGGAGCCATTGCATGGGGACCGAAAGTTCTACAAGTACCGGCCATCCAAAAATTATATCAAATACAGCGACTGGCTTGTTTAAACATCACAGGAGCCATGATAACAACACAAACTGCGGCAATGGAATTAATTAGTGGTCTGACCCCTCTCGACCTGTACGTTGAGGAGGTTGCGTTAATGGCCATGTCAATTGGGTCATCACTGGTTGCCTGCAGCAAACCAGTGATGCAATTGAACCCAGGTTTATGTTTGATAAACCCTACAACATACAAATAAAACAGAACACAGAGTCAGATGCTACAAATGCAATATGTATATATACACACGGCTCAAAAACCAAAGAAGGCTCAGAATGTGGAGTGTACTCCAGACCACTTAGCCTAAGGATTAAGTGGGGAATGGGAAAAATACCAGCGTGGTTCAAACAGAACTGGCTGGTATCTCAATCGCCACAAAAGAAATAACCAGGAAAGAAATTTCTGACAAAAACAACAATTG